TTTCTTTCGTTTTGTTTGGGTTCATTGTTTCTCAGAACATTCTTGTGCCCCTTGAGCTCCTGAAATAACAGCGCTGTCCTTATAGCTTCTGTAGGAGGAAGGGACAGCTGTGTTGGAATCCAGGTTGGACTTCAGCAGTTAAACCTTAGGTCACAACTGGGGACTGCACCATAAAAAAAAAAAAAAAAGAGGGTAGGATTGGTTTGTCTGTGTCACCACTGCTTCTACGGACACCGTTTCCCTGGGATAACACCACACAGCATCACAGAGTGGACCCCTGGAAGACAGACAGGCTCTGGGGCCTCTTCTGCTCCAGTGGAGCTGCTTGCTCAGGCAACCCAAGTACCACCTTGCTTTGTTCCCATCTGCTCACTTTCCCTTGCTAGAGCTGCCTGAACTCCAGCTAACCCAGCTGCAAAGCTCTTGGCCAGACTCTGCTGCTGAGGTCCAGGAATGGTAGTCCAGGGCAGCTCTACTGCCTGGTGTTGAAGGGTGCTCTGTCTCAGTGTAGGAGACAGATACAACTCCCTAGCCTTCTGTGAGGTCGCATCTATTCCTGCTAGATGGCATGTACCTGGGTTGCGAGGTAGAGGGCGCTAGGTGGTCTTGCCCCCACGAAGCTCTGGGTTGATGGGAACAGATGTGTGACCAATGGCCCATCATGACCCCTCCTTCCTCTGATCCCCCCTACAGGATGGTCCACCTCCATGGAGACGCCACACAGCCTTGGCACCACCAGCTCCCCCTGGCCTCTGCTGAGTGGCTCTAGTTCTGAGCCTGGAGCTACTGAGCTGACCCCACTCTGAGAGCCTGGCTCAGCTGGTAGCACAGAGCCCTCAGTATCCCCAAAATTGCCAGGAGGCTTCCCTGGAGCCCAATGAGACCCTGGCCTCTCCTGTCTGCACGCCTGATGTGGCCTCTGGGCTTTGAGGGGCCATAGTGAACCTTGATGAAATTGCACAGTGGACTGCTCTTCCACACACCCTCCTTTTCTGTGGTCGATATATTTGTAAATGGTACAAGATGAAGGACAGCAGCTTCCTCCATGGGCCATAGGCCCTAGAGGGTCTTCCAACTGCCAAGGTTGGTGCTCTGAGCACTTAAACCAACAGAAGAGAATCTACCCAAGAAGTGAAGTTCGGGAAGGGTGGGCAACCCAGGTTACTGTTGATGAAGGAAATGGTGCCTGTCTGCCTGTCCCATGTGTGTCCCCCAAGGCAGCCATGCTTCGCTGCTGCTTTCACCTGATATGTATCCTGTTCTCTACTCCCTACTAGTGACCTCTGACAGCTGGGGCAGACCTCAGTGGTCAGAGTGTGTTAACAAGACAGCCATTGCAGTGGTTGGTACCCAGAACCTCTTACAGGCCCCGCTTCACTCCCTCCCTCACAGCCTCCAAGATGAAGATGTTCACACTTGCAGGGCAGCACTGCCCACCACCTGCCAGGGAAGAGCCTGAGCAGCTTCCATAGCAGACATCGGCAGTTACATGTCCTTTTGTGTTTCCCTTTGGTTAATTGTCTTAAGGCTCCTGTCCAAGCCAGCCTAGGAGCAGTGCCCCAGTGATACTTTGTTTCTAAGGTAAAGGGCCTATGGGTGGCCCTAGGACAGAAGTGCCTAGGCAGTGTGGCTGACCTGGTGGGCAGGTATGGAACTGCTCTGCCACTCACCCAGGTGACAACTTGTAGCAATGCTTGGAGCCCCCCTTTAGGCTCAGGGTTGCTTGAGCTCTGGCTCTGCCTCTGCCCCTTTCTAGCAGTGGCTGGCCTGGTCTCTGGTAAGCCTGTGAACAGAGCCTTGTCTGCATATCCATCTGCCCTCTCCTGCTGAACGCACACATAATGCACACGTTGGCATGTGCATGCCCACCCCCACCTGCCAACACCCTGGCCTCTGGCCGTGTACTGGTACCAGCACTTTGGAAGGTGGGAAGCAGACTTCAGACTCACATGTGCTATCATTTGATGGACCCTGATTGGCTAGTTTTGGGGTTGTTTTTACTGTATATTTATAGTAATAAAATCATGCAGCAATATTCTGCGTGTGCCTTTGTTCTGGCACAGTACCGTGGGCAGGTTTGGTCCTTGATGTGGTGGCAGGACACTTAGTGGCTTTTGGTAGCTCCTGACCGATTTTGGTACCACCTTCATTTGCTTGTGTGAGAAGAGCAGTAGTAGTACCCTGTCCAAATACAGGCAAAGGGTTTTTTTTTTGCTATTTGTTTTGTTTCCTCTGCCTGGAGTGAAGCTGGACATGGTATTTAGCCCACCTCTCCTGAGCAATTTGGTGATCTTAGCCTCCAGGTACCAGACAGATTGTCCCAGTTCTTACATCCATCCCCGCACTTCTGATGTCCCGGAGGAGGGCAAAGGGAGTCACTTAGATGCTTAAATCTTTAATGGCATGGTTTCACAGAACAACGGTGGAGCCACAAGCTCGGGGTTGAGGCACAAGGGGAAATCTGCACCCTCAGAGATGAAGTGGATATTAAGATTTGCAGCTGTCCTATCAGGGATGTCTGGGACTCTCTAGATGTTCAGTACATATATATATATACATATCTCACTTGGATGACCTGGCGGTGCATCTTGGGAATTATAGTTTTCTGGTCTGTGGGTGCAGTCATCTGTGCACCTTGGAGGGTGGTAAACGCCACCCTCTTGCCTGGGGCTCCAGCCTTCCTGAGTTCTACCCCAAGCGCTCAGGATTGGTGGGGGCGGGCCAATGCGCGTGGATTGGGTCTGTGTGTCGTGGGCGGAGTCGCGCATGCTCATTTGGGCGGTGGGCCTGGAGCGTATCAAGATGTCGACCACGACGGTTCCGGAGCTGAAGCAGATCAGCCGGGAGGAAGCAATGCGCTTGGGACCCGGCTGGAGCCACTCTTGCCATGCCATGTTGTATGCCGCCAACCCCGGGCAGCTCTTCGGTCGTATTCCCATGCGGTTTTCAGTACTGGTGAGGAGCTGGGTGGGCGAGCGGGCAGACACAGGCTTGGGGCGCCCTGTGGACCCCGCGCCCTGATCTGGCTTACCTTGCAGATGCAGATGCGCTTCGACGGGCTGCTGGGCTTCCCCGGGGGTTTTGTGGACCGGCGCTTCTGGTCACTGGAGGATGGCTTGAACCGTGTGCTGGGCCTGGGCCTGGGCGGCCTGCGCCTTACCGAAGCTGACTACCTGAGCTCACATCTAACTGAGGGTCCACAACGCGTGGTGGCACATCTGTATGCACGGCAGCTGACACTGGAGCAACTGCATGCTGTGGAGATTAGCGCTGTGCACTCGCGGGACCACGGTCTGGAGGTGGGACCACTGCCTGGGGCCCGCCCCCATTCCCACTCCTGAGGTTTGACTCTGGCATCACAGAAGGCAACTGATGGATAACAAGTGTCCCGCAGGGTCCTCACCCTGGCCACGTTGGGTGGGAAGAGAGACTTGGGGCTTGTTTACATTTGCCTTGCTGCCTGCCATTGTCAATCCTGGGAGTGGGGCATGGGATCCCTGGAAAGAAGGGACGGTTAGGGTCTGCTTGGGAAATTGAGGACAGACCAAAAAGGCTAGGTGGTAGGGTTTGGGGTTGTCTCATGAGAGGTTATGTGAAAGCTTTTAGGGTTTGTGGATACTCTGGCGGAAGGGGTTTAGAGTGAGACCAGGGATCATGAGTGCTGGCAGACAGGGTGGGGAGTGCATAGGCTCTTCTGCTCCAGCTGTGCCTGGCCAGACCCTGCCAGGGTCCTACCCCTGTAAGGAGAGCCCAGCCCCACCCATGCCCTCTGTCCCACAGGTGCTGGGCCTTGTACGTGTCCCACTGTACACCCAGAAGGATCGAGTAGGAGGCTTTCCTAACTTCCTGAGCAATGCCTTCGTCAGCACTGCCAAGTACCAGCTCCTATTTGCCCTTAAGGTACTCAACATGATGCCCTCGGAAAAGCTGGCCGAGGCCTTAGCCTCGGCCACAGAGAAACAGAAGAAGGCCCTAGAAAAGCTGCTCCCGGCCTCATCCTGAGGAGTTTCCTGTGTGGGTTCTTGCCCTCCCTTGGCTGTCTCTGCCTACAGGCCCTGGAATTCCCGAGAAGTGTGCCTTCTAGCATGTTTGGCTTTGCACCCCTTCTGACTGCAAGGGACAAGCAGGCAGCTGTTCATCTTTACTGTCCCAAGCAGTCCCTGGGACCTAACTACCCTCTCAGGTTTGTTCAGTGGGGTGGCCTGGGCCTGGCTTTTCAAGCTGAGGATGTTCTCACTCATTCCAAGGCTCAGACTGTCCTGTGAGTCTGTTCATGACAGGTGGAGGCCCAGCTAGAGTCCACTTTTCCGAGGCAACCACTTGGTTGGTACATGGCTCCTGGACTGGTTTTATTCAGTGGAGGTGACCCATGTTAGATCACTCCTTTCCTTAGCCCAGAACCTGATCCAGCTTGCAATAGGCTGTTATTCATTTGGGTTGTTGTTGGGTTTTTCTGTTAGATTTTTCTTTCTTGGTGTGTAAACTGTGGGTTGCTTTCAGAGTGGCTGTGCCACACATGGCTTGGTTCCTCCTCCCCAGAAGGGCTCAGCTCTGCGGAACTGAGGAAACAAGACAATAAAGCCATTCCTCTGATGCTCACATTTGCTTCTGGGTGGCATGGCGACATCTTTCTTTGAGGTGTGTGGAGGTTGGGTTCAAGAACACGATAGGACTCTGAGCCCTGAAGACAACCAGTCTGGCCCTTGTGGTGTGGCGTAGACGGAAGCACAGACTTGATGTGCAGAAGAAAAACAGCACCTCTGTGCCATCGCTGGCTTTCTTATACAGCCTGTCCAAACACTGGTACAATTGGAAAACTCCCACAGCTCAAGAAAGGCTGTCTGCCAGCTTCACTTTAGGGCTTAGAACAGTCACCAAGCAGGGGAGAGATCCTGGAGCAACAGATGGAGAACAGAACTAACTATAGATAGGTTACTAGGGTCTGCTGTTAATAGTCAGAAATACATGTCATATGATCAGAAATGAGCCCCCAATCAACCTGCAGGTAATTTTATTTTCCAACAAGCAGCACATTTTTAGACACCCCAGACCTCACCTCAATGTGGCACCTGCTTGTGTGGGGACACATTCTTCCCACAGCCCTGTCTGGGTCAGAGCTTCCTACCCGCTTGGGGTCTTTTCACCAGGACCTGGATGTCAGGCCATTCATCCTGCCTCAGGGCTGGCCCAAGCTGCCCAAGCAGGGACTGAGTCTTGTCCTCCTGTCCACAAGCTGTTCCCTGGGCTGGTTTTCCACCCCCTAGGCGGCTGTGGACATCTGCTCACTCCCCTGTCTTGCATGACTCATATAACTTCAGGGTGGATCCATCACCCAACGTCAGAATCTGAAAAAAAAATTAACAAAAACAAAAACAAAAACACAACAACCTCGTAAGCAGGGACAGGAAGGTTAGGTGGTCCAGGGTGCCCATGGGCATGTGGGTACTCTCACCATCCCTCCTGGCTACGGTTCCCGCCATTTCTTCCCATTCAGCGTCTGTAGCTTCTCCAGGCTCTGTGTTACAGAGCATAATGCCTGCCCTAAGGATAGGGCCAGTTAGTTAGTGTTCTGTGTGTCAAGTCTCAGCAACAGGGAAGAAGGGGAACTCGGGGCACTAGGAATAGGTGGCCCTGGGGTCTGAGCTGATTGGGTATGGCCAGCTCTCAGCCTCAATCCTTGGAAGAGGATCTGGGGAAGGGTGAGGTTAAAGCCTTGGCTGCCCTCCTAGAGACTTACCCATCTCATGGACACAGTCTTCCAGGGCCCCTGACAACTCAGGGAGGCTCAAGGCCTGCAGGGGAATAGGCCAGCCTTTGGAATCTGTGGTGCAAAAGGGCAGGTTGGCCACAGGTTATGTCTTCACTCATTGCTGATGTATGAGTGACTGCCCCAGGCAGGGATGTACCCGGCTACAAGTTAACAACTGCCATTTAAGGTTCAGGCCTAAGTAGAGCTCAACCCTGGTGATCCCAGCCACCCAACTCCACTAGCAGGCTCAGGGACAGTGTAGTCAGCCATGAAACAAAGGCCCTAACTGTAATAGTGCATCTCTTGTCACAAGTGGACTAGTTCTGGGGACAGGGTTGCCATTGTAACAGTCAGGCAGAGCCCACTGGTTGGAACTTAGCCTAGGGCTTCCTGCCCACCACCCTTGTCCTAGTCCAAAGCCAGGTTATTGTTCTTACCTGCCGAGAGAAAAGGTGGACTTAGGGAAGCTTCAGTAGGGGATTGGTCCTGCCTCACTCGAGCTGACAGCTCAGCCTGACAGGCCCTGCCAGACATATGACCAAGTGTTAGTGTGTAAGAGGCCCTGCTGTCAACCCCAACCCAGACAGAGCAACAAAAACCACCTCAGCCCTGAAGCCAGCCCTGGAAGCCCCATACTGGTGTTGTCATGCTGCTCCCCAGCCTGCTTTTGGTCAAGCCTGGGTCTGCACTGTGGTGGACAGAGCCGCAGGAAAGTAAGGGGCAAGCGCCATGGTTTTCCCCCATTTCCCACCTATTTAGAGGATTAGGAAGGGATGATGACTGAAGTGTGGGGGGTAACTGCCTAAGTGTGTGAACCCACTTACCGAAGCTGGTCCAGGACAAGGGCAGCATCCTTAGCTAGGGTCTGGGCCTCCTGCAGCTGGGCATGGATGTCCTTTCGGGCACTATCCTGCTCCAGGAGGCAGCTCTCCACTACAGCCCGCAATTCCTGCTCTTGGGACACCTGGCCACGAAGGGCCTCTGCCTCCTCACAGCACTGTAGGCAAACACCAGGCCAGAGGGGCTAAGCCAGGAGCCAAGACCCGTGCTTGCTGATTCCCCAAAGGGCAGAGTCTGTTGGACTGCCTGTCTGCTTCTCTGTAGTCCATTCTAGGAATGGCTCCTTTGGCTCCATCCTACAGATCTGAGGCTCTGCGTGGGCTACTTGCTCTTCCCCCCTACATTCAGCTAACTTTTGACCCCTTCAAGTTTCCTGTCTCCAGTCCCCTGCCAACACCATATCCTCTGCTACAAAGGTGTAACTCTAGATGTACTCTGACACCTGTATCCATAGCCCGCCTGGAACTCTCCACTTACTTTGTGCAACTGGATAGCAAGCTCCTGCATTTCAGCCTCTAGTCGGTCAGCATAGGCCAGCTCCAGGGCATCACTAGGGGGGCGGGCACTACTGTGCCAGCGGGCAATGGCAGAGGTCATCTTCCTTTTAGGTCCAAACAACCTGAAAGAGTGAATCAGAGGGTGCATGTCAGCGTCTATCATGTGCATGGGCCTTGGCACCAACCTGTCACCAAGGCCAGTTGCTAGGGAACACCTAACTCTGAAGGAGGAAGGTTTCAGATGATCTTGGGGCTGAGGACAGAAACAAGAATGTCCAAACAGCCTCTATCATCACTGGGTCCAGGTTTGGACAACTACGTCTGTGCTCTCAAGGGAGATCTCCAGGAATCTCTCCCCTCTAGACAGGTGCACAGGCAGAATCTGCAGGAGCTACCTGGGTCACTGCAGGCTGTGACCGAGTACAGCCAGCTTAGGCTAAGCTCAGCTCTGTATAGCAGCAGCCACCCAGACCCAGCATGCAGGAAGCAGGGTAGGCAAGGCAGACCCTGGTTCTCCCAGTATCAAGCACGGAATACAAGTACAGCGATTACTAAGGGCCACTGCTATTAGCCATACTCACTCTCTGGCTAAAAAGATAGGGATAGGGGAATAAGTAGTGGGTCTAAGGGGCAGCACCTTCTCCATTCTCCTGTAAGAGCCAGACAAGACTAGCACACTGAAAAGTACCTGCATGCTCAGAACATTGGTGTACATGGAAGGTGGGCCACCAGAGTTCAGGATCAGCCTTGACTACGTAAAAGCAGCTTGTGTCATAGTAACTACAGAAGGGTGGACAGTTAGCATCACAACATGTGCCTAAGGAAAGGTGAGGCTCTGAGCACACCTACAGGTTTCAGCCTCCAGCTAGTCCTCTGCACAGAGGCTGCAAACAAGAAGCTCAAAACAAAACCTGCAAATCCTAGGGAAAGGGGGAGTCCTGACTTAGATGGTTACTATTTCATGAGACTTAAATATCCATTTTCAGCAATAAAAGTAAAAGACAAGTAGAGTATGAATCATTTAGAGAAAAATAAATCACAGAAGTTCCAAGAAAGTCCTGCAGCAGATCTGCTAGACAAAGGCCAACATCTTAAAGATAATCAAAGACCTAAAAGATGATGTGGAAACACTCAATACAAAATGGAAATACAATGGAGGAAAATGTAAAACAAACAGAGAAGTATGGTAACTGAAATAAAGTCTAAAACAGGCAGATACAGCCCATGGCAGGCAAAGGGGGAGCCAGCAACTGGAACACAATGGAAACTGAGTCTGAGGAATGAGATTAAAAACCTTGGCTAGGCCAAGTCTTTCCCAGGAGACCTTAGGAAGACAGGCAAGGCAGATAACGGTCTCAGGAGCTAGCAGCTGGAAACTTCAACAACTGATCAAAGACACGAACATCTGTGAAGCCAATGAACTCCACAGATGATGCATACCAGGACACACCCAAGTTAAAGACATACAGAGTCCTGGAGCAACAGAAGAAAAGCAGCCTGTCCATGCAGGGACCCTCAGTAAAAGTACCTGCACATTATCCTTCAAAACCCTGGAAGGCTGAGGCAGCCAGAGTGCCAAAGCAAACAGCTGTCACCAAGAATCCTTTACCTGGCAAAGCTGTCCTTCCAAAGTGCAGGAGAGATTCAGACATCCCCAGATAGGCAAACACTGAGGAAGCCCTGCTGAGAACAGGACACCTGCCGCACCAGAGTCACCTAGGGGAGAGCACTTCAAGTGTGAGGGTCACCCATGAAGAGTTACAGCCAAGACACAAACTACAATTTTGTGTATGGAATGTTTTGGGAGAAAAGGCATATTACATTGTTGGGCTTTATATTAAAAGACTTTATATCCAAGCTTTTAGGAAATAAGAAACCTGTGCTACCGTTATGAAAAAAATTAAAAATCACAAGAAAGTGAACTGACAAAAACAAAGGCAAAAGGTCCAGCATATAGCAGCAAGGCCACCTGGGAGCTGTGTGGGCACAAAGGCCAGCCTGGAAGAAAGCCTCTGTCTAGACAGGCTGGAAGGAAGCTGAGATGACTGGGGTGGGAAGCAGCACTAGGGGACTCACGTAATGCCGATTTCCTTCAGGTCACTTTCAGTGAGGGTCAGGAAGATACGAAGATCCACATCCTGTTCCTCAAACACGTGCAGGTACTTCAGACACCCAATCTGCTCCAGCAGTGTGGCAAGGTCCTGAAGGGAAGAGACAACTGGGAAGCCTGGGGCCAGAAATGGAGAGCTGATCTTCTCCCATCTGACCCCAAGCCTGACTAGAGCCCCTAAACTGCCCTTTTCTTGGGCATAGTGCCTCCAGCAGAGGAGAATGAGTGCTGATATAGCTAAAGGCTTAAGAATTCAGGAGGGAGCTCAGAGACTCCCTAATATTCTGCCTCCTGGTCTTAAGGTCTGTGTCCAGAGACATTTGATCCCCTCTGAAAGGCTCTATTCAGCCCCTTATCCTGCTGAACTTGGGGCCAGTTTGATCCCATGTCTGTGTGGCCATCGTTGTGCTTATCCTGACTCCACCAGGCCCACAGCACTCCTCCTTCCAAAACATCATGTGTGTGTCAGGGGGTGCTTAGTGATGGCACAAACTTTTCATTTTTCAGACTAAATGGTTACTGACAGCACAGGCTGCCTGTTGACCCTGTCAGCTACTGCTAAGTTCAATTGCTTAGCCTCTTGACTAGCTTTCAACACCAATATCCATTTCTGCCCATGATTACTTGCTAAGGATGAAGAAAAAAAAATGTCCCAAGGTTGCTCCTCTACCACTTTTCTCAGAGAAACAGCTTTGAGATCCCAGCACAGCTGGTAACATGCCTGTACAACTGAGAGGTGCACCTGTGTTCCAGGCCTAAGATCCTGGAAAGGGCTGCAGGTAAAACCCAGCCCAGTTTACAAGCTGTTAGAGAGCAGCAGAGCTGGGACTTGGGGCACGTGTGCATCACACCCTGAGCTGACAGTGCTCCACCAGGGTGCTCCACAGTGGGGGGATGGCTGCATTTTTGCTATGTACAAACCACATGCCATTACTCTGTCCCCAGCTCATAAGCATCCTATTACTATCTCCCTGATCTTGGGGAGGCCCAGAGAGTAGGACACCAAGGGAGTAGGCAGTCCTTGCTCCTGGAAAGAAAAAGACACCAAGCCCACTGCTGGCCTGCTGCTCATCAGGAATCCTCTGAGCCCTGTGGGGAGAACTCCTTTCAAAAGTGCCTGGCCTGTCATGAATACACAATAAATGACCCCAACCCCCACCCTGCAGCAGTCATAGATGTGCCACCTCCCTAAGCATTCAGCCATCGGGTTCTCAAATGATCTCACCTGAGGTCCTGAGTAGGGGGACTTTTCAGCTTGAGGTTCAGAGCCTGGAGTGCATACAGTCCCAGTGCTGGAAGGCCACTGACTGTCACTGTTGCTGTAACGATTCTTATTCTTCAAATAATTCTTGGTTTGTTTGCGGACTGAGCTTTTGCGGGTATGATCAGAATCCTGTGGTGAAAGGGGTGTGTTGGAGCAGCCTTGCCTGGCTTTAAACCTCTGGCCTCCTCACTAATGGCAGGGGTAAGATGTAAAATCTATCATGATTTACTTGCAGCATGGACCCCCATACTTAAGGTTAGGAGTCCTCCAGGCATGGTGTGGACACACATTAAATATTCACCTGTCTCCTACAACACCAAGAGAGGAAGGAGGGGAGGGAACTTTACCTCATTGCTTTCTATGGAAGCTTCACTGCTGAGCCCCTGGGCTCTTGTTAGGCCATCGCTGCTGCTGCTCCTCCACACAGGCCCAAGACTGGTACAGAAAGTGGGTTCCTCTAGTAACAGAAACACCTGTCTCACCAGTGAGGCTCCTGTGTCCTATTAGCTTATTCTCAACTGGCTCTTGCACAACTCAGCACTGCTTGTCTGGCCTGGCTGCCTATCACAACCCCACACTAAAGGTCAGCAGAGCTTGTCGTTTTTAACTGTGTGCTCATAAATCTCACGCACCTACAACAGAGCTTGGCATGAAGTAGGAACTTGGTAAAGCACTGCCAGGTCATAGCACCCTCCTGCTGGGAAGACTTCCAGGAAGCCCTTGGACTGACCCCGTGAGTACGGAATGCTTCTTTGGCCTGTGGGAACCCTCACCTGCCCATGGCCAACTCTGGCTTACCTCACAAGAACTGGGGCCTTCTCTATCTCCTCTATGGGAACCCAACAGGTTGGGGGTGCATACCCCGGCTGCTGCTACTGCTGCTGCTCTCCACATCCCGCTCATTAATGGGGGAGGTGACATCTCGGTAGCAGAGGCCCTCAACTTCCAAGGTGTTCTCATCACTGCTGGTGAAGGTCACATAGCCCCGTGGAGGAACTTGCTCTGTGTACGGAATGGACATGTAAGCCCTCAGACATGAGTGAAGGCATCACCCCTCTAGGGCTCTTAGGATGAGGGAGCCCCACAGCTGCCACCTCATTTCCTTGTACAGCAACTTGGTCCTGCTTCAAGAGCGATTAGTTTGCCCATCACAGGAAATGAGCTTGGTGTAGTCAAGGCTAGCACCCAGGGCAAGGTCAGTCCCCATAAGCACCTGCTAACGTTTTTCTAAGGGCAGAGCAGACAGTTGTTGTGCAATATTTCTTTACACTGTATAATGATTTGTTTAATAAAAAGCTGAACAGCCAAACTGGGCGGTGGTGGCGCACGCCTTTAATCCCAGCATTCGGGAGGCAGAGGCAGGTGGATCTCTGTGAGTTCGAGGCCAGCCTGGTCTACAAGAGCTAGTTCCAGGACAGACAGGCACCAAAGCTACAGGGAAACCTTGCTTCAAAAGAAAAAAAAAAAAAAAGAAAAAAGAAAAAAATCTAAACAGCCAATAGCTAGGTCAGATTTTGGGGACAGAGAGAAGGCTGGGAAAAAAAGGAGTTGAGTCTTGAGGAGCCAGCCAGATACAGAGGAAGCAGGAAAGCAACATGGCCAGAGTAAAGGTAATAAAGCCATGAGCCAGAAAGTAAGTTAATAGGAATGGGTTAATTTAAGTTATAAGAGCTACTACTAGTTAGAAACAAGCTTAAGCTATCGGCCAAGCTTTCATAATTAATAAGAAGTCTCTGTGTGGTTATTTGGGAGCTGGCAGGTAGGACAAAAAATCCTCCTACAGACAGTAGAATGCTCAATCTACAGACTTCTCAACTAAAAGGTTATCTGGGTACATTTAGTAAAACCCCCCAAAGTTACATGCATATATCCATCTACTAGATGTCTATGTAACTATGGAATTCTTTCTTCTTCTTTTTCTTTTTGGATGTTGCTGGGGATGGAATCTGAAGCCTTATGTGCTGGACAAGTACAGTTTCAGAACTCCAACCCCGACCAAAGAAAGTCCCTTTCTAGGTCAGAGGAAGAACTCTGACCTAGAAAGGGACAATGCTATAGAGATTCATATAGTTCCTGAATATAGCTGCCATAGAAAGCAAAAAGATGGATGTGGCTCCATGATGCAGTACTTCCCTAGCATTCACAGGGCCTTGGGCTTTCTTTCCAGCATTGCAAACAACAAACTCCAAATCCACCAAGCATGACAGCACACACCTGTAATCCCAACACTCAGGAGGTGGAACAGGAGGATGGCACGTCTAAGACCAGCCCAGGCTGAGAGGTGAAATCCAGAAGGGAAGGGAAGGGATGTAGAAGCAAAGAAGTGACCCATGTTTGCAATCCAGCTACTCAGGATCAGAATGTGGGCACAGCCAGGGCAGTGGGACTAAAATCCTTATACGTCACAATTGCTATGCCATCTATGTAAATTGGACAGCCAACAAAAAGGGAGATCCCCAGAATGAAACGAAGTGTCAGGATTAGCAGTGACTCACTAGGTCAGTTCTGAGTCTCGCTCTTATAGTACTTATTACTGTAGCCTGAGGCCAGGGGCCATGTTCCAGAACAGTCCTGTACCCTTCCAAGACAGTCTTGGGAAATGATACCAAAGAGCTTTGGGAACTGTGGCTCTTACCATAGCTGGTCTGGGTCTTGCCTCCAAGTCCAATAGCTGTGATCCTGGCCAGAGCACGTGGCCCCTCATGGATGCTGAGGCCCTTCTTTCGACAGGGCCTCTGGCGCTGAGGAATAGGCCAGGACTCATCTGAAGAGCTCAGATCTTCATATTTTTCTGTAAGTCAGACATGAAAATTAAGATTGTTGATTCAATGATAAGCTCATTTGCCAACACTACAGTCTAACAGACTGTGTCTGTGTGCTTTCGAGACAGTGACTCACTTGCTGTAATCCACACACAAACAAAACTGAAGATAAAATCTTAGAGAATATTAAGCAGAGTATGGTGGTATTACACATAACCTCAGTATTAGGGACAGAGCAGGAGGATTGCAGCAGGTTCAAGGCCAGTCTGAGGCTACATAGACATGGTTTCTCTGTGTGGCCCTGGCTGTCCTGGAATTTCTGTAGACCAGGCTGGCCTCAAACTCACAGAGATCCCCCTGCCTCCAGCTCCCGAATGCTGAGATGAAAGGTGTGCACTACCACACCTGGCTCTATTTATTGCTCTTGCAGAGGACCCAAGTTCAACCTCTAGCTGGTCCCCACATTAGCAACTCACAAACACCTGAAATCCTAGCTCCAAGGATTTTGGCCTCCTTGTGTACCTGTCTCAAAAAAACAAACAAAACAAAACAAAAAAAAACCAACTTAAAGGTATTTGGGCTGGGCATAGTGGTGCACACGTACACTTAATCCAGGCACCTGGGAGGTAGACCCTGTCTTAAGAAAAAAGAAATGCTCACCAGGACTGTTTTTGGATATTGGAGACATCACAACTAGCAAGCCGCTGTTCTACAATGGGGAGCTGAAACCATTAGTTCTTCCTCTTTACCTAGCGTCAAGAAATGCTTCTTGTAAGCCCATAATGTTTATAATCAGAAGTCTTCTTTTAAGTTCAAGGGATAAATTGATGGCATCAGAAAAATAATAATATTAATCACAACTTGTTAAATAGACAATTTCCTATTTCCAATTTGAATGACTTCTAAGAAAGTAAATGACATCTGTTTGCTATTTGCAAAGCCACCCAGATTGACCAGCTCAGCATGCCCATATCCTTCACTACGTAAGAGCTCTCAAAATGGGCCATCCAGTGGTGTGTGTGTGTGCAAGTGCCTGTGTGTTTAATTTTGTGGGCATGCGTGTGCAGGCATGAGGGTACCCACAGAGGCCAGTAGGAGGCACTGGGTCCCCTGGAGCTCCAGGTTCCTGAACCAAATGTGCACTCTAGGAACCAAGTTCTAGTCCTCTATAGTTGAGCCATCTCTCCAGCCCCTAGGGGTCAATTTCTCAAGGCTTCCAGAAACTACAGCAAATGTAAGGAAAAAGAAATACAATCAGCAGATAAGAGAACACATATGGAAGCCGGGCGTTGGTGGCACACGCCTTTAATCCCAGCACTCGGGAGGCAGAGGCAGGAGGATCTCTGTGAGTTCGAGGCCAGCCTGGTCTACAAGAGCTAGTTCCAGGACAGGAACCAAAAGCTACGGAGAAACCCTGTCTCGAAAAATCAAAAAAAAAAAAAAAAAAAAAAAAAAAAAAGAGAACATATATGGAATATTAAAAAATCACTGACTAGTAGGTGACAAAGAAGGCATCAGTGGGTTCCATAAAGTGGAAAGCGTAATTACTCTCTAGACGAATAAATTAGGAAAAAATGAATAGGATAAAATGAGACATTAAACAATTTAAAAAGGACTTTCAATCTAAAAATTTTAAAAAACTACCAAAAATATAGCAAAACCTCTATTAAACAACTTTTAAATAGAAGGGAAAATACAAATCAAAATTACAGAATTCCTAGAGAATTAACAACTATGTTCCAAGCTCCTGCCATGTGACTATAGAAAATGAAATCTACTGCCTATTGTCACAGGCAAAGGCAAACAGTAGAAATGAGCTGGCTAGGGAGACGGCTCAGTGTGTAAGGTGCTCGCTATTCAAGAATGAAGACCTGGGTTAAAATCTTGTCTCAAAGAATATCAGAATCTTATTTTTTTAATATGTGGTTGCCGGGAATTGAACTTGGGACCTTTGGAAGAGCAGGCAATGCTCTTAACCACCGAGCCATCTCTCTAGCCCCATTTTTTTTTTTTTTTGTGGCGCACTCGAGGCTGTATCAAGAGGAAGCTGAGTACCTCCTTCCCAGCCACTAGCAATCAGAAACCCACTGAAGTGGACCACGAAAGCTTCATACTTTAGATGAGCATGACTCCATCAGCAGCTGCTGATGCTGTGGGGGAAGAGTGGAAGAGTTATACCGTCCAGTCAGTGGTGGGAGTGACATACAAGGTTTTCCCATTAAGTAAGGTGCTTTGACTCCCAGCACAGTACGACTGCCGCTCAATGAGGGGTATTCCTGTTGTCGAACCAAGGAGAACTGGAGAAAGGAAGCTTAAGTCTATCAGGGGATGTACTGTGCATACCAATCTGAGCATTCAACTTGGTTACTGTTTTAAAAAAAAGGAAAGGAAAAAAAAAACCAAGAGAAGGATATTACTGGCCTGACAGACAGCACTATGCTTTGTCGGCTGGGGCCCAAAGAGCTAGCAGAATCTGAAAACTTTTCAGGCCCTCTAAAGATGATGGTGTCTGCCAGTATTTTGTCAGAAAGCCCTTAAAAAAAAAAAAAAGTAAGAAGCCCAGGACCAAAGCACCTGAGATTCAGTGTCTTATTCCTGCAAATGTCTTTTTTTCTTTTTTAATATTTATTTATTATGTATACAATATTCTGTCTGTGTGTATGCCTGCAGGCCAGAAGAGGGCACCAGACCCCATTACAGATGGTTGTGATCCACCATGTGGTCGCTGGGAATTGAACTCAGAACCTTTGGAAGATCAGGCAATGTTCTTAACCACTGAGCCATCTCTCCAATCCTCCTGCAAATGTCTTGCAACATAAATGCAGATGTACTGCTCTGAAGGAACAATACACTACAAAAAATGAGAAGGCTCAAGAATGTGCTAAACTTCTGGGCAAGAGAATGAAAGAAGCGAAAGAAAAATGCCAGGAACAGACTGACAGAGATGCAGACTGTCCTGAGAGCTTCTACTTCTTCTTTTTTTTTTTTTAAATTTAATTTTTTTTTTGAGAGCTTCTACTTCTAAGCATGAGGCCAGTTAAAAATAAATTTTATGTGTAATGAATGCTCAGACCTTAAATAAATAAATAAATAAATAAATAAATAAGAATTTCAGAATCAATGGAGAACTTAACTTTCCCAATATGGTGAAAGGTACATACACCTTCCCAGAGCCAACGACCCTACAAAAGGATGTGCATTATCTCCAGTGTGTAGAATGAAATCTGGCACAAAAGCATGACAGGCAGAGAGTGAGCTCTGCCTGCAGACTAACAGCACACCTGGAAACTCCTGGAGATGTGGAACTGATACTAACTTGATTAAGATCAGTTGTAAAAGTCAACTGCCTCATACATGGAAATACCAAAAAGATGCTGCAGCAATACCATCAACCCATCAGACAAGATGATAAATACTTTAGAATAAACTTAGTTACAGAAAAATAGACATTAGGAAAAATTTAAGCCTTCCTTAAAAAAAAAAAAGTACACCAAAAACAAAAACACAACCTGTGTTTTTAGATGGGACAAGCTGACACCATAAAACTAGTGAATTTACAGATTTCCTATAGTCTCTTTGACATATGTGAGCTCTTGTTTTGAGATCAGGTCTGTGTTGCCCACTGGTTTTGAACTTGCATCCCCCTACCTTTGCCTCTCAATCCAAAATTCTGGGATTGCAGCTGTACACCATAACATATGCCTTTTCTACCATATTAATTAAAATATTAACACTTTTTAAGGCGGAAGACAAGTTGACACTCAAGTTCATACAGAATGGTAAATAATAACCGAGGAAACTCCGACAAGTTCTAATCAACAGTAAAACACACTATAGAATGTCTCTGGTTACTGAGTGGTGGTGGCGCACATCTTTAATCCCAGCACTCAGTAGGCAGAAGCAGGCAGATCTCTGTGGGTTCGCGGCCAGCCTGGTCTACAGAGTGAGTTCCAGGACAGCCATGGCTACACAGAGAAATTCTATCTCAAAAAACAAAAAAAAACAAAAAAGCCTCTGATAAAACTGTATTTGGGTGCATGGATACAGAGACCACCAGAATCTAACTCTGGGGAGAGACCCTAATAAGATGGAGACCACCAGAATCTAACTCTGGGGAGAGACCCTAATAAGATGGAAAGTCAATGTGTGATAGAGGTGCTGTATCTAACCCCCATGTAAACCATACCACACAAGAGATACAAAACAGTGGGTCAGACATCTAAATGTAAAAAATTAAAACATACAAATGCTAGAAGGGGCATGACCATCATGACTATTGGGGCTCTGAGAAAAAAATGGTTATGATTCAACATCCAGAGGCAACAAAGGACACCTGATTATACACTGGTAAAGTATGCATAACACAAGATTGTCAAAACCAAGAACTAGAAGCCAGGAGCCTCTCTGTGAGGCTTCCTCCTCCCCTTATCCTTAGGCTGCACAGGCTGTTTTAGGTAGAATCCAGCCTGAGCAAAGCAGGGGATCTAGGGAGGGGCTCCGTCTCTCCTAGTATCCTGGATGCTCAGGGCAGCCCTGATCCCATCAGGACAGAGGCAAATCAGGTACCTGGGCTCCGGTAAAGGCTCTTAGGCAGTGCAGGCGAGTGAGTATCCATCAAGGCCACTATCTTCATGTGACCATACTGCTTGGCCAGCATGCGGGCTGTGGCTCCACTGTGGTCTCTTATGTCTACTTTGACTCCCTAAGAAGGTTCAGGAAAGAAGAGTCAGAAACTCCTCACCAAGTTCCCCAGTTCAGCGGACTGCAGGCCCAAAGGGATGAGAAGACAAAGTAGGTTTATGATCACTTCCCCTGGTTTGAGATACCACTGGGGTGGAGGTAGGGATGAGGGGGCTAGTGACTTTCTGTCTCCTTCACAACAAGGAAGAGGGCCAGAAAGCCCATCATGAAGAGCATTCACCAACCCTTCCAAACATCTGCAGCCATTCTCCCTCCTGAGTACTGCCTGCCAGGTACCAATGGTTCTGGCAAGAAGAAAAAGAAGCTGGGACCTGTAGGCAGAGGCCCACCCTCACCCTTCACACCCCTATGTCTATCTCTAATAGAGAACCTGTCATTCAACACATCCTCCCGAACTCAACATGACGTCTCTTATCCTTTGATTTTGTGAGACTGGCTGCAGACAAGGATGGCCTTGACTTTTTCATCTTGCCTCCACCTCCCAAATTTTGGTATTCCAGGTGTGCAGCGCCACACTTGCTTTGTTCAAACAGGGTCTCACTATGTATCTAGGCTGGCCTTGAACTCACAATCCTCTTGCCTTAATCTTCCAAGTGCTAGGATAGCCTAGCTGAGATTACAGCCTAGGTTAACTGAAGACCCACACTGAATATGGGTAGCAATATTGTATCAGCTGGAGGTTCATACACATAAAATGGAAAAAGAAAGCTAAAATTTGCATTCATCTCTCTCTAGGGTTTTTTGTTTGTTTGTTTGTTTGTTTGTTTTTTGAGACAGAGTTTCTCTGTGTAGTCCTGGCTGTCCTGGAACTCACTCTGTAAACCAGGTCTTGAACTCACAAGATTTGTCTGTCTCTGCTCTCGAGTCTTAGGATTAAAGGCCTGTGCTACAAATGCCCAGAATACTACTAGAAGTCTTATGCTGTGGAATAATTCTCTTGTACACTGTAAAGATTTGTCACTCAAATTGGTTTAATAAAATGCTGACTGGCCAGTAGCCAGGCAGGAAATATTGGTAGGGTGACCAAACTAAGGATGATGGGAAGGAAAAGGGTGGAGTCAGAGGGTCACCAGCCAGATACAGAGGGTGTGGCCCAGGAGGCAAAACATGCTAGAGGATAGGTAAAGCCATGAGCTACGTGGCAATATATAGATTAATAGAAGTGGGTTAATTTAAATGTAAGAGTTAGCTAGTAACATGCCTGAGCTATCAGCCAAGCATTTGTAATTAATATAAGCCTTTGTGTAGTAATTTGGAAAGTGGCTGCCAGGTATTTGAGAAAAGGCAGTTGGGACAGGAACTCCATTTACAGAATTACTCTGAAACTAAAGAAGCCAAAGTAAATTTTCTTCCTTAAAAGCTTTAGCCATACAGTCTAATACCATGGTGGTAAGTTGGCTTACCAAGGCTCTGGAGGACAAATCAGAAGGAATTTAAAACATAAAAAGTGACTCTTAAGATTCTTCCAGGAGCCGGGTGGTGGTGGCGCACGCCTTTAATCCCAGCACTTGGGAGGCAGAGGCAGGCGGACCTCTGGGAGTTCGAGGCCAGCCTGGTCTACAAGAGCTAGTTCCGGGACAGGCACCAAAGCTACAGAGAAACTCTGTCCCGAAAAAAAAAAAAAAAAAAAAAAAAAAAGATTATTTATATAACTCCACGCAACACTCTGTGATCCAGAGGAACTTGCAGTAGAGGTCAACAAGCTAGGTGGAAGTAGGGAGGAGTGGGGACAGTGCAGGGACAGGGCACCCAAAATCCATGCAGGGACGAAAAGTACATCATGGGACAGTGGCTAATGTCTATAATCCTAGCACTTGGGCAGTGGAGGCAAGAATATCAGAGGTCAAGGCCAGCTTTTCAACTAGATAGCTCTGAGGCCTGCCTGGGCTACATCAGATGCTAACTTCACAGACCAAACAACAAAAGTAAAAAAACATGCACGCTGTTTCCCCTCTTAGGAAGACTCCTGCTGTGAACTGTTCTGTGTGGACACAGGTTCTCAGTTCTCTTGGGTACACACCTGGGAAAACTGTGATAATTCTATGTATGTTCTATGATAATTACCAGATTGTTTCCTAAGATGCTGTGCCACTTTGAAGTCCTTTGAGGTTTACATTGGACACTGTCACTGACACTTGATTCCTTCCTTCCTATCCCAGTCATTTGGCTTGGCTGCCAGAGGCCTATAATCCAGCTACTCAGAACACTGAAGCAGGAGAATCAGAAATTCAAAGTCCTCTTAGACTAAAGGGTGAGGTTAAACCAGTTTGAACAACTCGGTAAGATCCTGTCTCAAAAGAAAACAGTTTAAAAAGGGCAGAGGCTCTAACTTAGTGATGAAGAGCTTGCATAGCAGTGCAAGGTCAGGTCTCACTCTCCTGCACCAGGATTAAAAGTTTCTCATAGTTTCTAAAAATGTGTCTTCAGCCAGGCGGCAGCAGTGTAGATCTTTCATCCAAGCACTCTGGAAGCAGGGGCTGGCAGCTCTCTTGTGAGTTCCAGGCCAGCCTGGTCTACAAAGTGAGTTTCAGGACAACCAAGGCTACACAGAGAAACCCTATCATGAAAAACTAAAAATCAAAACAACAACAACAAAGTGTGTTCACATCATTATGAATAACACTGTAAAGTCTCAATGAACATGCACTGCCTACAGGTCAGCAAGATAGCCCAGTGGGTAAAGGCTCCTGCCGCAAAGCCCAAGACCTGAGTTCTGCTGTGTGAGCTTCTTCAGCCAATAACCTTTAAATTACCAGCACACGTGGGCGTGATCTCTAATACTATAAATGCAGCTGTAAAGCATGGCTTCTGGCTCTCACTTCTGGCTTCTAGATTCGGTTCCTGTTCTCCATTCGTGCAGAGGACTTTGATCTAGGACAGTGATCTGTGAGCCTCCCCTAAATAAATAACATTTTATTATACGTAATTCTGAACTAGTGTGGGATTATTTTGTAACTTCCATCATCAGAGTTCAGTTCCCAGAATCTATTTTACAGAAGGAGGAGAAAACAAGACTCCCACAAATGTTCTATTCCATAGGTATATATGTATGTACACACACATGTGCTGACTATATAGGTTTCCATGTAAAAGAAATCCCGGTTAGAGTCTATAGTTTCATCAGTGAGTCCCATTTGCTGTGACTAAATTACAAGGTAATATAGTTACTTACATGATTCAGAAAATACTGCACAATTATCTCATGGCCAGAGGCAGCTGCTTCCATCAAAGGAGTGAATCCATATACAGGCTCTCTGCAAGATGAGATTAGACAGATGGTTAACAGAGAGGAGTGAGGCAATGAAGGAACTCTCCTGCCAAAGGCAAAATCAAGCCAAGACCCCTACATGCAGAGCAGGGGTACAGGCTCAGGCCTAGGCTCTCATGCAATTAGAACTGCTGGGGTGTTAGGATTAAGGAGGCAGTTTTGTTGGTCAAGTACTTGCCACATAAGCATCTGGACCTGACTTGATTCCCCAGCACCAGGTAAAATGGTCGGTGTGGTTGTATGTGCTTGTAATTAAAGAGCTGGGAGGAAAAACAAGCGGATCCCAGGCTGGGTAAGTAGTCCGAATTGTGAACCCTAAGTCCTAGTAAGAGACCCAGTCTCAATTTAAAAAGGTGGGTGATTCCCAAGAAACACCATTTCTAGCTTCTGCACACACACACACACACACACACACACACACACACGCCCACACACACTTGCCTCAATTGCACACAAAGAAACTAATGAGGTGAGATGGGAACAGACAAGACCACACAAGCTTTACTAACTCCCTCTGGTTCATTAACAGTCCCAAAGACCAAGCTCTCCTACCTTCCTTCTCTCAAATCCATTCCTACCTCATTCTAAATCCCCACTTTAATCACACTCAAAAAGCAACTACTGCCAGACCTGGTGGAATGCACCCTTAATCCCAGCAAATAGAAAGTAAAAGTAGCCAGCCTGGTCTGCATAGTGAGTTCCAGGACATCCAAGGCTACCTGAAGAGACCGTCTCTCACAAAACTAAGTAAGCAAACAAACACTGAAGCAGCTACTGCTCACTTCTCACAGGTGCTAATGTCTCCCCCACCTACTCAAGCCTCATCGTTTGAGTTCAACAGCCCATGAGTTATTGTTTCTGCTAAGTCCATACACTAACATCCTCATTCCCTGCTAGACTAGAAGCCAGGAGTCATACTAAACCTGGCTCTCAACTATAGGATGACACATACTCTTCACATCTTAATGTCACTCAAGTCAAAATATATCTTAAAATCATTTTAAGATGTTGAATTTTAATTAGTAGCTCTATTTTTCTTCCTTAGAGTCAGCAACTCAGAATTAATTATATCTTCCAATGGGCACCAAGAGCCAGAGTTGCCATGCCAACATCAGGTGGGGGCTCAGTTGGTACTTGCTGTGAAGGGATTCTTACATAATATGTGTCAAACCACAGTAACTCCATCTTATAAAGATAATAATGGAGACTGGCAAGATGACTCAGTGGGTACAAGCACTTGCTATGCAAGCCTGACAACTGTTAAAAGTAAGAAAAAGTCTGCAAGTGTCTGCAATCCCAGCACACCAACAAGAAATGTGTGTGTAGGAGCGGAGAGGCAGAAGTTCACAGGCCAGCTAGCCTGGGAGTACCCAACTTGTCTCTAGCAAGGTGGAAAGGAAAGGCCCAAAACCTGAAAGTTGTCTGACCTCCAGACATGTGCCATGGCACACATGCTTCTGCACCCTGAACTATGAACAGGTGCACACTCTCATATATGATAAAAAAATAGAAAGGCAAGTAGATGGGTTGGTTGGTCATGATGGCACTGGGTTATGATTCAGTGACAGGATGCCTGCTTAGCAAACATGGTTCAGGGTTTTGTTACCATTAAGACAGACAGACACACACACACACACACACAACTATTTTCAAAGCCTTATCTTCATGATGATAATCAAAACAACAAGAAAAAGGAATTAGCATCTAATGTATATCACCCAAATACCATTTTTCAATGCTCTGACCTGGACCTTGCTAACCTCAGTTTTCAGATAAAACAAGGTTCGAGGCCCAGGAGTATGATGATGACTGACAGATACGCACTAAGTCCCACGGTCTATCTATCCCACTCCTTCATCTTACCTCTCAAACTGGGGCAAGAAGACCCTGCCTCCTTGCTTAGAGTTGGATGAAACCCAGCCCACTCCTGTGACCACTTAGCTGCAACAATCACCTCACGTTGGCATTGGCTCCACTGTCCAAGAGGAACTTGACCATCTGCTGGTGGCCGGCACTGGTGCAGTGGAAGAGTGCAGTCCAGCCCTGGATGTCTTTCATTTCAAGCTCTGCACCTTGCTTCAAGAGAATGGTATGTTGTTATGCCCCATGTCTCCAGGAAAGGTGGGTGGGTGGGAGGCACCCACCAGGCCTTCAGCTGAAAGAATCTTAAGTGATTACATGTGTACATACGCACACTGTGGTGTGTAGCACCTCATGTCCTGTCAGGGCAGCCAGGGAGCCCCTAGGTCTGGGCCTGTGCCCACTCGTAGCTCACCTGGAGCAGAAAGTAGGCGATGCTCTCGTTGCCACAGCTGGAGGCCAGCATCAGTGGAGTCTGCCCTTCTGGGGTCGGCACATTCACACTCACCCCTGCCTCGAGCAGCAGGTGGACAATGGTATCGTGTCCAATGTAGGAGGCATACATCAGCGGGGTCCAACCACCACCATTCTTCTTATTCAAATCTAACTCTCTCCTAAACAAACGCAAGATATGCTAGATATTCCCAGCATCCCACATGTGGGCTTCCATCAGAGCCAGGTGCCAGGCCTAGTGGGACAAGCTGACTTTCCAGAAGGCAGTAATCACCTGTCCCAGTAGAGAGAAGGCAAGCGGGTGTTTCCATCCTCTGCCTTAAACTCTTTTAAGGGTTAATCTTGACTTTGACAGGATCTGAAATCGACTAAGAGATAAACCTCCGGGCGGGTCTGAGGAATTTTCTAGATTGACATGGGAAAAGCCACCCTAAAAATATAAACAGCATCATTCCACGGGCCATGCTTACAGGCTAAATAAAAAGGAGGAAGAGCGGAGCACTAGCCTTCACCTCTCCCTGCTTCCTGATGCACTGTGACCAGCCGTCCCACTCACCATGCCTCCCTGCCATAGGACTGAACCCTCAAACCAGTAAAGACAACTCTACCCGCCTTAAGCTGCTTCTGTCAGTATTGCCATAGCAACAAGAGGTGACTATGTGGTGTGCTGATACACACTTTTACTGTCAGTATTGCCATAGCAACAAGAGGTGACTGTGGTATGCTGATACACACTTTTACTCGCAGCACTTGGGGACAGAGGCAGGTGGATTTCTTTGAGTTCAAGGCCAGCCTGGTCTACAAAGTGAGTCCCAGGCCAGACAGGGCTGTATTAGTAAGACTCCCACCTAAAAAAACAAAACAAACAAACAAACAAACAAACAAAAAGTGACTAATATAACCGTCTATATTTTAATACTCGCATCTTTCTTACCATTCTCCTGGCAAGGTCAACAACTCACCATTTTTGTGCCTATAGCAATATCCACCATGCTTAAGCTAGGAGTTAGGCAAGGTCTGGTCATTCCTTACAGTTACCACATCTGGGAGTAGCTAGCTGTTGGCACACAGCAGGTTAGGGCTATGTGTGAAGGACCCACCACAGATAAGACTAACTGCCTAGTTTATCAGTGAGGCTGAGACACCCTAACCACCAGCCACCAAAACAGTAACTAATATGTCAGCAGAGCTGTGCAGAGGGCTCGGGGAAGAGAAAGAAATTGAGAACAAGAAACCCACTGCCACTGACTTCTTTGTCACCTCACCCCTGAGTATCCCACTTTCCTCACTGGTTTCCATCATGCTTTTGGAAATGCACTTACATTCAGGAAAGCAGAGTGGAGGCTCCAGACTTTAAGACTTGGGGATGGGAGTTCTGTTCTAGAATAACACCCACCCCAGGCCTTCCCCCTCACAGTTCTGGCCTCCAGTGGTGGCTGACAACAACTGACAATCTGCTGTATGATCAGTACCTTGTGGGGTTCACACTAAGCTAAGTCAGGCAACTACTTCCCACACACTAGCAGCTCCTGCTGACTCTGGTATATGCCATCTGTCCATTCTGGAATGGACTGAAGCCCTGCCTGGAGAGCTACATGCAGATACCTCTGGAATCACTGCAATGACTTGACATCCAGCACTACCTCCCTTCATGAGTGGCAATTCCACAAAGGAAGCAGTGGCGAGTGCCTCAGCAAAGCTAACACTTACCCTTCAGCCAGTTCACTGAGACCTCCAGTTTCCCTCAGTCCCAGCCTGGACTTCATGAGCAAAGCCTGCTTCTCAACTGGGCCTGAACTCCAGAGAGAGCACAGAGCTCCTCCTAGTCTCTTTTTTGGGCTGCTCTGGGACCATGCTGTTTAACAGGGCACTCAACATATAAGAACCTGAGACTCCAAAGAATGACAGCAGGATTCCTGTGATCCTATGAGGACATGTGCTGACTACACGCCTAGCTGCCCATCCCTGAGGCCATTAGGTAAAGCAGTCCTAGACTGAGAGCTCTTATACTCTACTGGCAAGGACAACAGATGGCTCTGATTTGCAACCAGAGACCTATGGCTTTGAGGCTTTCTTCTGGCTCATCAGGAATTGAAAAGGCACAGAGAGTTCTGGGAGATAGCATCTCACCGAGGTACCAAATGAACACTTAAGGCCTTCTACACACCCTTCAGACCATACGGACTAACAGGCAGGCGCTGGGACTAAATCCGCATATGCAGGTTGGTAAAGCTGGTAGGTGGGCAGTGAGGACAGGAGGCCAGCCTCTCACCTCTGTGCCAGAGGGGACAAGCACTGGAGGAACCACAACAAACCTGTAGTCAAAGAGCCAAAATGCTGGCTTTCCATCCCTATTTTTGTTTTCTCTGGGTCTTTCTCTGGTAAACTATACATTGATGTTTATAACGTAGGCCACTTGTTAAGTTTTAAGCAAGTTTTTCTCCTCAGAATCAAAGTTCTTTTTTCTAAGAGTCTACCACGAGCCATCAACATCTGCGACAAGCAGGAGGGCCTGAACCATGTGTAATAAAGGGCTCGAGCTCTGCAAGTCTCGTCTGATTAAAACGTGAGGTGAAGGGATGCTCCCCAAGACCTCTTACCGCTGCACACACTCCTTCACCACCTCGTACTGGCCAATGGAGGCAGCTGTGTGAAGATCCAAGGGGACGTCCAGCTCCTCTCGGCTGACCTGGGCACCGAGCCCATACCACATGGACAAGCTGCGGTTCAGGAGCTCCGGCTCGCTGGCTTCATCGCTGAGCTCAGACATGGCTGCGGAGGGAGGCCCAGGGGTTAGGTTTTACTCCCTGGATGTTACAAAGATGATATACTCCTACCAATGACAGGCTATCATCTCATTCCTAAACTAAAGCCACCGAGGCTGACTTAGCTTTCTTCAAACAGCAGTACCATCACAGGGCCACACTGGGGAGCTTGCCACCAGACGGACGATGGGAGCATCTGCTTCACACAACAGGTTCCACTATCAGATTTTCCAGGAACCTGATAACCTCCTCACTGTTGGTAAAACAGTGCAAGTTGAGTTATTTAGCACTATTTGCTAATTTGGGTGTGCAGCAAAATTTAGCTCCAGGGGATACAACACTCATATGCACATGCCCATCCACACACACAAACAACCCACACATGTGCACATATGATTTAAAAAATATATAAAATTTCAAAGTTAAAAAAAATATAAGGAAGCCGGGCGGTGGTGGCGCACGCCTTTAATCCCAGCACTCGGGAGGCAGAGGCAGGCGGATCTCTGTGAGTTCGAGACCAGCCTGGTCTACAAGAGCTAGTTCCAGGACAGGCTCCAAAACCACAGAGAAACCCTGTCTCGAAAAAACAAAAAACAAACAAACAAAAAAAAAAATATATATATATAAGGACTAGAGATGCAGTGACCGAGCACTCGCATATCCACAAGCCACACGGAAGGCCATGCACAGAGATGCCCAACTTAATTATGGCATTTAGGAAGTGGAGACAGGATTATGAGTTTAAGACCAACCTGGAATACATAGTAAGAACTTATCTCCAAAAAAAGAAAAGAGAGGAAGAAAAATAGGACAAGGAAGGAGATGAGGAAGCAAGCTCCTAGACTATAGAAGGTGATCCCTAATGTTCAGCAAATGTTACATGAGCAGGAATCTATCTCTGCAACCCTCTTAAGTAGGAGAGATGGACCACCACAACGATAAGTGTACAATGAGTGGTGTTTGAGTCCTTTATTCTGGGGAACCCTACTCAAACCAAAGCCAAGCCATTAACTTCCTAGTAGATTCCTAAGTCTAGGAGCAAAAGGAAGCTAGTACAGAAAAGGGAGAGAATTCTGGGACATAGTTCGAGTCCTGAATCTAATCCCCAGCATGGTAACAAAAGGGGCTGAGGAGAAAGGGAGAAGATATGGCAGTTTACAGTGAGTAGGGCCTCGGATTTTTATTTTACCTGTGTAAATGGTCACTATTTTGTTTTGAGACAAGGTCCCACTGTGTAACCCAGGCTGGCTTGGAACTCAATTTGTAGACCAAGCTGGACTTGATCTCACAAAGATAAACTTGTCTTTGCTGAGATTAAAAGTGTCTGCCATCATACCCAGCTAAATGGCCACTGGTACTAAGGATCCTTGGGGGCCACCTCAGTGATCCCAAACTACTTCAAGTGGCAGAATCCCTCCGGGGCCATACGTCACGGTGACCTGGCAAGGTGGTTCCTCTCAGAGGCTGGCACTGGCCCTGACCTGAGCGGAGAGTTCAGAGTAGCACAACAGTGACCTTGAGGATACAGAACAGCAATACCCTTACTCAAGAGTTCTGGCAAACCCCAAAGGAAGCCTGAAGGAAGTGTGGCCCCAAAAGTACTAATTCCCTGTTCCTCAACACCCTAGGATTCTTCAGTGTTGGTGATTGTCAAAACATACAAAAGTTGGGCCTGGTAGCACACTTCCAGATGGAGGCAGAAGGGTCAAAATCCCAAGCGGGCCTGGGCAACTTAATGAGGTCAAAATATTTAAAACAAGTTGAAAGATGGCAGAGAATCAATCTCAGTGATAAGAATCACATATAAGCTGGGTGATGGTGGCGCACACCTTTAATCCCAGCACTCTGGAGGCAGAGGCAGATGGATCTCTGTGAGTTCGAGACCAGCCTGGTCTACAGAGCTAGTTCCAGGATAGGCTCCAAAGCCACAGAGAAACCCCGTCTCGAAAAAACAAAAAAAAAAACAAACAACAACAACAAAAAAAAAATCACATATAAATAGCTTGCAAGGCTGTATTTTTGTGTTTTTGTTTTTAAGGACAACACATATAGACCACCATTTTGGGGAACAGTCTTCAGGCTTCTTGATGAGCGGTGTGTGTGTGTGTGTGTGCTGGTGAAGTAAAAAACAGGCCTGCTTTTTTTTTCGTAAACCACTTAGCTTCTCAAGCTGCACAGCCTGCGCTCAAGTTGTACCTCAGGCTCATAGGTCAGACTCCTGAGCCTGAACCAAGAGACACATGCTCCTCTAATGGGGAGACAATAGCAGAATCCTGGAAGGGCTCACACCTGTAACCCCAGCTATTGGGACGCTGAGATAGGACAACCTTGGAGTTCAAGGCCAACCTGGGATGCATAAGATGCTTACTCAAAAAACGTACAACCTGTCAGGCATAGTGACACACGCCCAGCACTTGGGGACAGATCTCTGTCAGTTCCAGGACAGCCTGGTCTACACGGAACCCCACCCGCCCAATCACAAAAAAAAAAAAAAGTCCCCCAAAATCGATTCGAGCAAAACAAATGTTTCTGTCTTCTGCACCTCACTACCAGAACTTCAGGCAGCATTGATACATGGTACTCTTTTTTTTAAAAAAAAAAAAAAAAACTATCTTCTTAGGGCTGGAGAGATGGCTCAGTGGTTAAGAGCATTGCCTGCTCTTCCAAAGGTCCTGAGTTCAATTCCCAGCAACCACATGGTGGCTCACAACCATCTGTAGTGAGGTCTGGTGCCCTCTTCTGGCCTGCATACACACAGAATATTGTATACATAATAAATAAATAAATATTTTTAAAAAATTATCTTCTTAAAAAAAAATCCCATCCTGGTGGCAACTGTCACTCCACTCCTTTTAGAGATCCGTCAAGACCTCGAGGGAGGAGGCCCTGCAGCCCAGAAGCGCATCCCGGAGAACGTGTGCGACACAGGCTCCCGCGTGGCTGGACCCTGGCAGGGACCTAGCGTGATCCCTCAGCGCAGCACCAGGAGCCGGGTCCGCGACCGCGAGCGCCAGGGCTGGCAGCCGGAGCGGACTCAGGGCGCCTCAGGCACCGCCTCTCAGAGAGCCCCGCCGGGGCCGGCCTACCTGCAAGGCCTCAGGTCCCCGTGCCACCCTCCAGATGCAGCCACACCTTCCCTCACCGGCCAGGAGCCCTGCGCCCGACCCACCCCGGAAGTGATTGGAGTCGCGCGCAGAGCACTCCGGGAAGATGGCGAGCGTGCTATTATTGGCCCACCACAGCAGCCAATGAGATGACAGATACGAGGAGCCGCTCCTGAGGCGGAGAGGAGGGCGGCGCCCGGAGAAGAAGAGAACGGCCGGTGGCCTCGTGCAGCCGGGAACAGGGCAAGTGGACGAGCGGAGCGACCCGAGGCCAGTGGCTGTACCCGGGGTTGGTCCCGGCTGCAGGTGGCCGGCAGTGCGACCCTCCCCTCTGCTTTAGCACTAGCACGGTTGTCCTGCTGCCTCCCCGTCCCCTAGGCAACGACGCCTGGCGTGGGGCGGGGCGGGGCGAGGCGGAGCCAACCGGTTTCTAGGAGAAACAGTGAACTTCTCTGTCCTCTAAGCCATGCCATGCTCTTTCCTCCGCGGTCTACCCTTCTTTCAACCCGGCCACAGCTTTGTGCACCTAAAGGACGATCAGTCTTGGGTGCCCCACTACCAGAGCCCCTGCTATGGGACATCCGCTGGTGGGTATACCAAAAGCGTCCCCACCTGCGGCTGTCGGTGCAGGACCGCCAAGCATCTGTGCTTGCCTACAAGCTTCAGAGGCTTAAAGACGCGACTCACTCCCTGCTGCCGCCCTGATTCGGCACCACTAGCTGATCAGCCTGGTCCGTTAGGCCTTCACCCCACAATCCTAAAGTTCCTTTGTCCACTGAGGTCCAAGGAAATTTTTTTAGGGTGAGATACAAAGGGTGGGGTTGAGCCAACGACTCATTTGAGTATGACTAGCAAAATCTTGTGGATAATGGATCTTTTTTATTTATTTATTTATTTAATATGTATACAATATTCTGTCTGTGTGTATGCCTGCAGGCCAGAAGAGGGCACCAGACCTCATTACAGATGGTTTTGAGCCACCATGTGGTTGCTGGGAATTGAACTCAGGACCTTTGGAAGAGCAGGCAATGCTCTCAACCTCTGAGCCATCTCTCCAGCCCCCATGGATAATGGATCTTAAACCCCAAACTTTTAAAGATTTATTTTATTTTTAATTATGTGTATGTATGTGAAGGCTGGGATGTGCACTCGAGTGTGAATACCAGTGGACACCAGAGACATAGGATCTCCCAAGGGTTAAAGTTAAAAGTAGTTGTGATTTGGTGAACCCAATTCCGGTACTCTACAAGAGCAGAAGAGGACCCTCTTAACTGCTGGGTCGTCTCTCCAAACCCTAAACCCCTTTCTCAGTGCTGGCGATTGGATTCATGTCCTGTCCATTATATATGCCAGCAAATGCTCTACCAAAGAGGCCCATCCCCAGACCTTAACTGTGATTCAACCTCTCTCTGCTACTTATCAACCTCTCCATATCCTATAGGACATACACACATACATATGCATGTGTGTATGTCCTATAGGGTTTCTATTGCTGTGAAGAGACACCACGACCACAGCAACTCTTATAAAGGAAAACATTTAATTGGAGTGACTTACAGTGTCAGAGGTTTAGTCCATTGTCATCATGGTGGGACATGGTGGTATGCAGGCAGATATGGTGCTGGAGAAGGAGCTGAGAGATCTACATCTGAGAGATCCACAGGCAACAGGAAGTGCACTCCACTGGGTGTAGCTTGAGCATAGGAGACCTCAAAGCCCAACCCCCCAGTGACATACTTCCTCCAACAAGGTCACACCTACTCCAGCAAAGTCACACCTCCTAATAGTGCCATTCCCTACGGGGACCATTTTCTTTCAAACCACCACAAATATACATATTTATATATATATATATGATATATAACATATATGTCCATGTCATGTATATCTGTCTATCTATCTATCTATCTATCTATCTATCTATCTATCATTTTATCAGTATATGCACCTCTGCTTTCACACACACCTATCAGTAAGCATCACATACCTACATGTACAAACACCGTGTGCTCCTGTGCACTCATCACTGCACACACACACACACAGAGTCCTGTTACCTGGTAACATAAACTTCCAGAACTGGAAGGAAATTGGTGGAAAATGGAAATTTGCAGGTGTGTTTTCACCATGATCAAGGCTTTTGAAAGGCTGCCCATGCTAGTTTGTTTTTGGACGCCTAGACACTGCTGTCTACCCCATGTGCTCCACAGGGCTCCTCTGATGATGGTATATAATGAGATGATTGTTTGAGCCTGGGTCCCCATGACATCCAAAGATAAAGACGTGGTGTCCTGGCCAGTTTCTCCCTGGGATGCCATCCTTAAGGCTGCCAAAGACCAGCTGCCATGCCTGGATTCAGACTCCTCCCTGGTGAGCAAGAGCTTCTTCCTGGATATCAGCTGTCCAGCTGGGGCAAGGACAGTTTTGGGTACTCCTCTCTACAGACCCCTCTGATCTATAGGGTTTATTTTTCTCATCAATCCCTGAGTTTACTTCTGGGTACCTACGCCCTTTAGGATTCTTTCTGGGTTTGCCAGAACTCTTGAGTATGGGTATTGGTGTTCCATGTACTCTCCTGCAGTGGTCTTGACCCCCAGGTGGTCTTTGCAACTTGCTGCTCTCAACTCTTGGGTCAGGTCAGAGCCAGTGCCAACCTCTGAGAGCAATAACCTTTTCAGGACACCATGATATGGTCCTGGAGGGATTCTGCTACTTAAAGTGGTTTGGGGTCACTGACAGTACCAGTGGTCATTTATACAGATGATCCACTGGTCAGAGACTCAGCACTCAGGTTGGCATAGGACACTTAGAGTGAAAAACAAGGGTTCTGAAGCAAAACAGCTGATTGTGCCTGACCTGAGCATTTGCAAAGATGAACATAACCAAGCTAAGACTCGGGCATTATCCAGTGCATGGTGTGGCAAAAGAAGTAGACGATGACAGTACCTCGGTGCCCTAGTGCTGTCTTTGCTTTGCCAAGAAGTCTCTGTAAGGTGGCAGGCCAGTGTCAGCCTCTCTCCTCTCTGGTTAGAGACAGCTAACCAAAGCTCTTGTGTTAAATGATAAGTCAGTATGAAAATGAGCTGGCCTCCCCTTTAGCTACCCCTTCACTACCATTACTCACTGCCAGCATTAATGCAAAATCTTGAGCATAGCCTGTGAAAAGGGAAGTATAGTGATATTTCATTTATGTTTTAATAAATAAAACTTGCCTGAAGATCAGAGTATAAAACAGCCCTGCTGGTCAGCCTTATAGACCAGGCAGTGGTAACACACACCTTTAATCTCAGTAGCACACTAGTTGCCATAGAAACCGGGCTGTGCATGCCTTTAATCCTAGCCCTAGAGAGGATTATTAAATGGGAGGAGACAGCTCTCAGATACAGTCTCATTCTGAGATTCCTGAAGGCAGGATCACCATTTAGGCAGGATCACCATTTTAGACTGAGGTCGAGATAAAAGCCAGTGACTGGCTATTTTGCTTTTTGGACCTTAAGGTTGAACCCCAGCAGTTTCTGTCTCTGAGTTTTTATTAATCGTGCATAGGGAAGCTCACATCTCACCAGTATGAGGTGGTGCTGCTGAGCCTGTTTTGGGGTTGGCTGCAGAAAGCAGCACAGGACGTGGCCCTTTGAAGAGAACTGATCTTTCCAGATGCTCCTGGGTGGTTGGGCAAAGCAGGGCTGCCTTCTCCTCTGAACCACCCTGGTCTGTCTGCAGTCTGACTGTGAGGAAGAAGAACCCTTCATCTTTCAGCGAAACCAGCCCGTCCTGATTCCAGACCTGGCTGAGGAGCTGGCTGAAGATCCTCTTGAGTCTGGGATCTGGATTGCTGTAGGGAGGAGTTCTTCACCTGAGGTCTGTGGGACACAGGCTTGGGGGACCTGCTAAGTACCCTGGAGGGGTCATGGGGTTGGTGATTGCAAGTCTCGCAAGGATTCCACCAACAGTGTAGGTCTAAATGCTTAAAACCACTGGTTTTGCCTCTTCCTCCCGCAAGGACAGCCTAGCACTTGGGTGTTCAACATATAAGCATGGCAACTCCCAACACTGTAAGTACATTGGGGTTTCTATTTGATTTTTGCTGCCTGCTGCCTTTTTTGTTTTCTTCCAAGACACTCTGTACTGTCTGGCCATTGTCACAGCTGCCTGTCTCAAATATCTCTCCCTAACCAAACTAATTCATAGCCACTCAAGCTTGCTGAATGTTCATGACTAAGTGCTCCCCCAGGAAGCCTAAGGGAGGTGTCTGAGTGTCGTTACAGTAGTGCTCAATGCTGGCTACCCTGGTAGGAAATCAGGGGAGGAGGGGGAAGCTCAGGCTTGGGCTTCCAGACTGTGGAACTGCCCATACCCCCCTCCCTCCCTCCCCTCTCTCGGCCCAGAGAGAGACCAAGACCTCTACCTAAACTCAATGATTACTCCAGACCTGATGGTATAAGCATGTAATCTGAGCTACTTGGAAGGTGAGGCAGGAGCATCAAAAGTTCAAGAAGGGGGCTGGAGAGGAAGGCTCAGTAATTAAGAGAGCTTGTTGCTCTTGCAGACGACCCAGGTTTGGCTTCCAGCACCTGCATGGTAGCTCACAACCAACTGTAACTCTGTTTCCAGCCCCACTTTTGGCCTCTATGGACTCCTGCACACACATGGTGCACATAAACATGCATGCATACATATAAAATCATAAATAAACCAAAACTCCATCAGTGGCTTGATAATAAAAATGAATTGCTATCCCAGTAGATCCCATCTGCAGCTTTTATTCTTAGCTACCCAGGCCTGTCAGACCTGTTAACTCTTCTGATGTGGCTGTGACTGACATACTTTCCAAAGAAAACACTGGCAGGCCAAAGCATCTCTACAGGCCAGACTGGGCTCTAGGAGCCCCTCAGCTCTGGGTAACCGCCCTCTGCTCAGTTCTTCCTAGTATCGTTGAGGCAAACTGGGTGTGCTAAAGAAGTCCACCTGACCCATCTCCACCAAAACACTGTGTGAAGCCCAGCCCTCATAGACGCTGATATAAAACAGCACCCCCCGTCCTCCCCAGGAGAATCTGAAAGACAACTAGGACTCTGGTCAGTTTAGGTGACACGATTTTCATGAACTGATTTCTTATTTTCTGTAAGGACTACCAACTCCTTTGGGAGAGGGGCAATAGGGGGTGGAATCGTTTTGGAAACAGTGGCAATGTCCATATGACATGACAAGTTGTTGAACTAAAAGGGCTCAAAATGGAGCCCATGAGGTGCCTTGATGGGCAAAGGCACTTGCTGCTCAGCCTGATATGACACTCTTGAGTTCTATACCCAGGGCCCATGGTGGAAGGAAAAACTGATTCTTGGCTACCTCCACCTTATCGTGGTTACCCTGTGTGTGTGCCTGCATGTGTGTGCGTGTCTGTAAAGTATGTCTTTGCAGGTGTTCACCAATGATGCCTTTTTTGTCTAGCCAATTCTGGTTCCTGGAAGACTAGCCGTAGAATCTAGAAGTGGACAGATGGTCAGACAGATGGACTTGGCCCCTCAGGAAAGAAAAGGCCCTGGCTGGTCTTGCCAGAGCTGTGTTGAGATCAGCCCTATTCTTCTGGAGGCTGAGGAGGACCCACCCTGGCTGGAAGGCAACCTTAGAAGCCTGTCTAACCCCAAAGGATCCCAGAGTCCCCCATGGACTTCCCAGGGAGAAGAAGCCACTTTTCCTTTGGAAGGAGAGCTGAAGACAGAGCCCTCCGATACTGATGAGTGCAGAACCCTCCGCAGGGAGAGGAGGAGGATGATAGAGAAGGATATCCTTCAGAAAGTGACCCAGGCTTCCAAGAACCCAGCCTGTGGTGACCACGGCCAGGCTGCAGTCTCAGGACCCTGGCCAGAAGTATCCTCGGAGCAGTCTCGGGAAGGGTGTCCGGTGCTCTCACTCAAGGTAAGTGTGTCCACTGCCTAGCCTGCCTTCAGGCCAGTCCCCCACAACATGGCCACAACCCTGCCACTCTGTTGAGGCTGGGACCAGCTGTCCTCTAAGACCTTAGGCCCAAATCTCAGGTCCACTGGCCAGCAAGTATGTGGAAAGGCTGGCACAGAACTCACCCTCAGTGAGAACTAGTGATAACGGCAGAGAAGACAAGTCCAGCTTTCTTTAGGGAGAACACAGAGATGACCTCAAGCATGAATGCTGAGTATAGTCATGCATAAGACAGAAGCAGGCGCTGCTGAAGTGAAGTCCTCACAGTGGGCAGACCCCACACGCTAGGAACAGCTGTCCAAGTCAGACTAAGTACATTAGTGAGAACTGGCGACAGACGGAGAGTCAGGGAGACAAAGACTGGAGTTGGGAGAGGTGATTCTGTGAGAGACTGCAGAAGAGGAAGGAGTGAAGGCTGCTGGGAGTGTCGATATGCAACCACAGCAGTGACTCCCTATTCCTTGCTGGTGAGTCTGTTTCCCACTATAGTGGGTGGGCAGCCTTGGGCAGCACAGCTGTGCTCTGTGATTGACCACTGACCAGCAAAGAAACCTGTCAATCATACTTGTTGAATTTTCAAAGACTATGAAGAATACCCTGGTTAGCTGTGCAAACTCAGTTCCTTCCAGGTGGAGGTGGACATATTGGAAGACTCTCCAGCCTAGCATGGAAAGGTTATAAACCCCTGCACCACTTTCTTTAACAGCTTACAGAATGTGAGCACACAGACATGCAAAGAATTTTTATTGCTGTTTACATAAGCCAGCAGTTTCATTCTGTCTCTCTTTGTGTCTTTAATTCTTCCTCACCTATATGACCGCAGAAATTTGAAAGGGTTCACTCAAGCATTCATCGTAGATCCATGCTCCCGCCCTCCTGCTATGCCTACAGAGCCATCTGGGCCAAGCTCTCCAGTTTGAGCACCTACTAGAACCACAAGGTTCTTAAAGTTGCAAAAAAAAAAATTGGTATGAACCTAGACAGTTCAGACAGAGGAGATGTGCATTGTTTGGTAGAGTGCTTGTCTTGCGTGCATAAAGTGTATGTGGTTATATAGGCCAGTAATCCCAGGCCTTGGGAGGTGAAGGTAGGAGGGTCAGGCATTCAGGGTCATCCCTGGCTACCTTGTGAGTTCAAGGCCAGCTATAATGAGATCCTCCAGGTTATCCATCTTTGCACCCAAAAGTATTGACCCAAAACAAGTTTAAGGAAGGAGGTGTCAAGAAATGCAGGTCTGGCTGGGTGGTAGTGCACGCCTTTAATTCCAGCAATCAGGAGGCAGAGGCAGCCTGTTCTTCAGAGCGAGTTCCAGAACAGCCAAGGCTACACAAACCCTGTGTGTTGGTGGCAAAGTGGGGGAGAATGCAGGTCTCACCTTAAAGGAAGGGCTTAGTGTGTAATCATTTACAAAAGATAGTACATTCAAGTATGTTAGATACACCCAAACTCCAGCACCACTCCATTGGTGTTTGGAGTCTGGGGTGGGTGCTTCCAGGCTCTTGGCCACTTATCCAAAGAATTTAAAATAAGGCTCACACAGATATGCCAAAGAAGCAAAATAACTTTATTGGAGCTAGGTGACAACAAATTAAATAGTCCTGTCAAGATCAACAGGACTTCATTTTATGAGGTCTAAAGGAAGGAGGGGCTGGCTACTAAGGGGACATAATTTAGATGGTTCTCTATTTTGATTGATTAGATCATATATTTTTCCTACTGCACATGTCCCTTTCCCATAATCATTGGATTTTAATCATCTGAATGCCTAGTTACGCACAGTTATAAGATTGCAGTAAATAGGGAGTTTTCCCTAAAAGATTAGTAGAGCACAGTTCTCCCTTACTGCCTAAACACCCAAGACCAGCTCAGGCAAGATAATCCCTATCTTCTCCATACCTAGATATACTGAGAATACACTTGAATGGAAACTGTCTAAATTTGATTGTTACAGAGTTGAGCGGGGAAGATTTATACCGTAGTGCAGAGATGCAGGTGGGGATGGCAGGGAGTTCTGATGTTGCTAGTGCAGTGTTTGAAGAGGTGTGCATCTGTTTAGTACACTGCAGGTGAAGGAACTACACTGTCAAATGAGTTATTGCAGTGGGGATGCGGACAACCAAAACTAAATGGGGTTGTCCCAAGCTAAATGGTTTCCTATGTTTGCCTGCCTCACTACGATGGATGACTCATGATACTCTGCTGGCTGCAGCTGTTGTAAAGTGGGAGTTCCTACTGCAGAACCTCTCTGCAGTCTTGTAACCACCAGCTTTATCATTTCAGCAACTTGAAGGCTGGGATTTGGATTACATCCTTCAGAGTCTGCCAGGGCGAAAAGACAGCCAGGGTGACAATGCTCCCAGAACTGCGTGGTGGTTAGCTGACCGCTGCCAAAACCAAGGTCTGACCTTCACCACAGAAGTCCGAGTGAATCTCCATAAGTACTTCCTTCCAAGCCTCTCAGTGGCCGGGGTAGGGAATGGGCAGGGCTCTCACCCCTTACTGTCCTCAGCACACTCACTGCCCAGTCTTACAAAAGACTTCATTCATCATACATACGGATGCCTGCTCAGCCAGGCATGTTCAGGCCTTCAAACTTACCTGCCCTGTGGTCCACCCTTTTTCTTTCTCCAGCCTCCTTCGTTCCTCTTCCTCTTCTGCGGGAAAGCAGAACCTGTCTCTTGCTCCCTTTGAGGCAGCTGAAACGCTCATTCTATTTGAAAGCATCATACTCTCACTGTGCTCATGGCCTTGCTATGAACAGTCTCTTTGTTTTTCAAGACAGGAGCAGAGTTTCTCTGTGTAGCCCTGGCTGTCCTGGAACTCTCTCTATAGCCTGGACTGGTCTCAAACTCAGAGTGCTGGGATTAAAGGCGTGTGTCACCACCGCCTGATTTATGAGCAGCTCTGTAAAAGGCTCCACACTTTCTCTCCACTCATGCAGGCCCCAAGAGCAGGTGGATGCACATCTGAGCTGGGGAGCAAGGACAGGGCCTAGGTGTCCAGTTCCAGACCAAAGACTCCACTACACTAACAGCCACTGGGATGTTTGAAGCAAGAAGGTTTTTTTTAAGTTCATTTTTTTTCTTTATAATTGTTTTGCCTGTAGGCATGTAAATGCTACCACATGGTCATCTGTGCATGCACCAGGAAAGGGCAGCAGATCCCCTGGAACTGGAATTACAGATGTGAGCCACTGTGTGGGTGCTGGGAATTGAACCCAGGTCCTCTGCAAGAGCAGCAAATGCTCTTAATCACTGGTCTATCTCTCTCCAGCCCTACCTGTTTTGTTTTTGAGATGCCATCTTACTGTTTAGCCCTGGTTGACCTGGAACTTGGAACATGATATGTCGGGCAGATCTGTTGAACTTGCATCTGCCTGTGTCTGCCTCCTGAGTGCTGATATAAAGGTGTGCATCACCTTGACTTTTGTTTTGAGACAAGGTCTACATGGTAGTCTGGACTGGCCTGAAAGTCTTGGCAATTCTCCTGCTTCAAACTTCAAAGTGGTGCCACTAATGAGCATGTGACAGCATTCCTGCTTCAGCAGAGTTTCCGGGTGTGGTGGAGTGGGTTCTCTGCAAGGTTGGCAGAAATGTATCATGAGCACCTCTCTGGAGGGTGCTACAGCAGGACCTAGTCTCTATTTTAAATGCTCATGACTCTCAGATGAAGCTATTCCTTTTTGTTTAGTTTTATTTTGTTGAGACATATAGTCCAAGGTGGCTCAAACTCATTATGTAGCTGAAACTGGCCTTGAACTCCTGATCTTTCTTCTACCTTCCAAGTGGTGAGATTTCCACTCCCACCAGAGAAGCTATTCTATTTGGAAAATCTCTTGTTTAAACACATACCCCAGGATGTTCACTGCTGTGCACTGTAAGACAACAAAAAATTGCCAGGCGGCGGTGGCACATGTCTGTATCCCAACACTCGGGAGGCAGAGGCAAGTGGATCTCTGTGATTTCAAGGCCAGCTTGGTCTACAGAGTGAGTTCCAGGGCAGTCAAGGCTATACAGTAAAACCCTGTCTCAAGAGAAAAAAAAAAAGAAGCTTTGAAAACTTGGAAACAGCTCCTATTCAATAAGGATCTTGCTCTAGCTAAATCAAGCTCATCAGAGAGTGCACTCAGTTCAGTGAACAAAGTCTACTCATAGAAAGGTGTAAAAAGATGAATGCGGTTGCTGGGGTTATAGCTCTGTGACAGAATGCTTGATAGCATGCACAAAGCCCTGGGTTCACTCCCAAGTGCCCCCATCCCTGAGACACACACACACACACACACACACACACACACACACACATCTATATAAGCCTGTTTGCTACTTTTTAGAAAGTACAAACATCTGTTCACTGTGGTCACCTGAGACCCTATGTCACAAGGCTCAAGTGTAGCAGCCTCTCTTGAAGATGTGACAATCCCTTGACTTTGCCAAGAGTTGCTGAAGCCTCAGAGAGGTCTGAGGTGGGGCACATTAGAGCCTGAAGCTCAACCACTGAGAGGCAGACCTGAGCTAAGCAACCTCCTCTCCTGGCAACCCCCAGGGCACACCACTGGACTCCCTCAGGACATACTGCTGGAGCAGCTGGCCCTCCTGTGTGCCACTCAGTCCAGAGTCTGCAACCCTACCCAGAAGGTATCTGCTGACAACCCCCAAAGCACTGAAGAACCGGAAGCCAGAAGCAGGTGGGACTTCCACCAGCCACACCCACAGCCATTGCTTTAGAACCAGCCTGCCTCTAGGCAGTGTCATTTGGGCCTACTGGTGGGGCACTCCGCATGTACTTTCTCTTTAAATAAGGACTCATGTAGGCAAATGCTCCATTATCTTTATTTTTACTGATGGGGAAGCTGGGGTTCAGATTGCCATGCCTCTCCCAGGTCATCAGAGGCAGAGCTGCGTACTGAGCCCCAGAGCTGTCTCGCTCCCTAACACAATAGGTACTTTCTCTTGGCACCAACATGACTTCCCTGGGAACAGCAGAATTATCACATTACCCTGCTCCTCTGACCAGATTGATTGGTCTAGCCTTGAACCCAGCCAGGCCAATGGGAACCTTTCCCTGGACTTTTGTAGTTTGGCTTGGGTCGGAAGATGGAAGGGCTGTGGGCAGCCACCTGTCCTGGACAAGCAGGGAAGCAAACTGGGACAGAGTGAAGCTGGAGATGGGGTCACCTGAGGCCCAGTGTTCTGTCTTTCCCAGATGCAACCATTTTCAGAGGTCTGGGGACTTTCCCCCCTGAAGTTGTCGTGGATTCTGCCTGGCTAGCTAAAGGGGCAGAGCCTGTGCTTTTCAGTGTGGAAGCCACCAGCTCCACACAACTCCCAAGCACTGGAAACATGGCTAATGGGATGGAAACAGTTTCATTTTATGGATCTATTTGAGTGACTTAGCTTGTGCTAAGTGGTTCCCAACTGAGTGGAACAGACTGAGGGTTTATTTATCATATGAGGACTGAACTCAGGGCCACACACATGCTAGGCCCATCTTCTGCCACTGCGTGGCATCCCAAGTCACCTTTTTACTTTTTCTCTTTAAAGTCTTGCTAAGAGTCTGGAGAGATGTGTCAGTGGTTAGGGGTATTGGTTGTTCTTCCAGAGGACACAGGTTTGATTGCCAGCACTCACACAGTGATTCACAACTGTCTGCAACTCCAGTTCCAGGGGATCAGATGCCTTTTCTGGCCTCCATGAACACCAGTCATACCAGTGGATAAACATGCATGCAGGCAAAACACTCATACACAAAAAGTATATGTATAAAGTCTTGCTAAGTTGCCTAGGCTGGCCTTGAACTTTCTATCCTGCCTCAGCCTCCTGAACACTTCAACAGGCCTGCCCAACAGCTGAGCTGATACACAGCATATCAGACTTGCCCAGTTCTGTGGGGGTAGTGGTGCCCTAGAGAACAGATGGGTTCCAAGTGCCCACCCGCACACCACAGACATACCTTCAGTAGCTGCTGTGAGCACAGTGATTAGACCTGCCCAGCAGGTGGCAGGAATCACATAGAAGGGCCACCTCACCCCTTCCATTGCAGAAGTGCTTTAGCAGAGCCTGGCTTTCAAACTGAGCCAGCGCAGAAGCTGGCAGAGAGTAGGAGGCTGAAGACAGAGCCTCCCACCATCTTCATTGACCTGCGTCAGACGGAGCCATCGGAACCACAAGAGCACCAGTCCCAGGAGAGGTACGGAACAATGCTAAGAACGGTGTCTGCAGGAAGGAAGGAGGGACACAAAGCAAAGCTCATCTGGGTTGAGCACCTTGTACCTTCCCTTCAGAAATGGCAGGAAGCCCAGTGGCCCCTTAGCTTTGGCTGGCTGTCACTCTTCTTGGATTCCCAGGGAGGTCCGTAGGTGAGAGGCAGGCCTGGCAAGGTGGCTGAAGCACATCCTGAGAACCCATTTCTTCTACTTCCAGCTCTGAATATAGTTCCTCTGACAGTGAGGAGGAAGGCATGGAGACAGCAGACCCAGGACAGGGGGCATCCTCCTGGGAATGGAGGTAACCTGAGAGTCTATCCCTCTCCATTGGGAAGCTCCCTCCCTGTGCCCTGGGCCCCCTAGACATGTGGGTCAGCATTTGGTGTGATGGGAGTGGGTATTGTGCTTTATGACCTGGCATAGGGAAGCCTGTGTGGCCAAGCCTACTATACCTAGGCATCATGAGTGACATCAAGCTTCCCACTCCAGGGCAGCTTAGTCCAGCCTCTGAAAACAGTTCCCCAGCTTGATCTTGCTCCTGCTGCTGGTAAAGAAAACGTGGAGGGCCAGCTGTTAGCCAGATGTGAAAAAGAGCTGGTAGATTAAAGAGCAGTGTCCAGCCGGGTGGTGTTGGTACACGCCTTTAACCCCAATGCTTGGGAGGCAGAGGCAGGCAGATCTCTGAGTATGGCACGAATTCCAGTACAGCCAGAACTGTTACACAGAGAGGCCCTGTCTCGAAAAACAAACAAAGAGCAGTGTCCTATCAGAGACGTGCCCGAGGCCCCCGACTGTGGCCACAGGATGAATGAGAAATGGGGGTCATAGCTGCCTGCAGCACTGGGAATGTCAGAGCTCAGGTGTAGAATGGGACATCCCAGGAAGATGGGGTGGGAAGTGTTGGGAGGTTCCCCTCCAGAGCCTGTGGTACAGCAGCACCCCAGGAAAGCTGCAGCTACACAAAGTCTTGGCTTTTCCTTTGTACCTTCCCATAGACATCTCTTTTCTCCTCCCACAACACCCTTGGGCAAGGCCTTGCTCATTCAAGGAAAGGGAGTCAAGGCTGGGATGCCCCTCAGCCCTGCTTTGAGGCGCTAGTTGGCTCACTGCCAGGCACCAGACCTAGGTCCTCTTATGAAGGCTGTAGCTCCAGGCAGTAGGCAGCTCCAGGCAGTAGACCTGGGCACACTCAGACTGGCCCTTCAGCTTATCGCTTCATCCCTTCAGAACCTGATGCCTTCCTTTAAATATAGGAGAAAACTGCCGTTCCTACCTCGCAGGACTCCAAGGCAGTGTGCATGGGAAATGCTGTTGATGGCAGCTACGGGGTGGCCCAGGATTTGGATGTTAAAAATATTCCCTCTGGCCGGGCGGTGGTGGCGCATGCCTTTAATCCCAGCACTCGGGAGGCAGAGGCAGGTGGATCTCTGTGAGTTCGAGACCAGCCTGGTCTACAAGAGCTAGTTCCAGGACAGGCTCCAAAACCACAGAGAAACCCTGTCTCGAAAAAACCAAAAAAAAAAAAAAATATTCCCTCTGTGTAGATGGGAAATTAGCCATACATCTGTGGAGGATGTTTATCCTAAAACATCTCTGTCAATAGCTTTGTTTTTCCCTTTCAAGACAAGAGTCTCACTCAGTAGCTAGTCTGGCCTCAGACTCATGGCAGTCCCGTCTCACTGTGTCAGCCCGCATGCTTTCCAGACCTTTCCCTCTGTCGGATTTAGCCTTCTTAGAACATTTGTTCTGTTGCTTCTCCTGTTGGGTGGGGAGTCACTGTGTTCGTGCAGCTGCTTCTGGCAAAGGCTCGATGCCTGGCTTAGTCAGGGCAACTGCTGCTCTGCTGACAACCATGACCAAAGCAGTGAGGGCAGGAACTCACGCAAAATTGATGTAGAGGCCGTGGAGTGGGCTGCTTAGCGGCTTGCTCCTCACACTTGCTCAGCCTGCTTTTTTACAGACCCTAGGACCACCAGTCCAGGGATGGCACCACCTGCAATGGGCTGGGCCCTCCCCCATCAGTCACTAAGAAAATGCCCCCCAGTGTTAACTGACTTTTCTGTCCTGCTCCGTTCCCACAGTCATTAGGTCCCAAAGAAATCACACAGAGGTCTACATTAATTATAAACTCAGTATCTCAGGCTTTTTATTAACTCTTATAATTTATTTTAGCCCATAATTATTGTCTGTGTTAGCCACGTGGCTTGTTGAGGCACCTTTTTCAGCAAGGCATCCTCTGCTTCTGGGTCACAACTGCAGACTGAAACTTCTCTCTTCCCAGAATTCTCGTTGCCCTGCCTCTACTTCCTGCCTGCCTACTGGCCAGTCAGCATTTATTTAAAATACAAGTGACAGGGTACACCATTGTCCCATAGCTCCCCAGCTGGATTTTAGGGAGGCTTTTTCTTAATTGCAGTTCCGTCCTTTCAGGTGACTTTAGCTTGTGTCAAGTTGACAAACTAGCCAGGACAGTGCCCATTGCTAAGGGAAAGATCCACAAGGATTGTCATCTCAACATTCTTCCTAACCGAATTGCAGAGGCTGCCAGACAGCAGGAAGCCAGCCCTTGCTTTGGAACGGGAGCTGAAACTACATAAGGCTCTCCTCCTTTCTCAGTGTTGGGAGGTCTGGCCTTCAGGCACCAGGCCTTAGGTTGGTTTTCCTGCGTCACAGGGACTGTACTGGGAAGAGCCAGCTTCTCCAACAGCTAAGAGCATTTCGGAAGGGGGCTGGTCCATCCCACCTGTCTACCAGTGACCGTCCTGGAGGCCAGAAGGCCCAGGCCCCGGAAGATACAGCTGAAACACAAACTGGGAGGAAGAAACACATGAAACTCTGGGCTGAGAAGCAGAATGCCCTGGATCTAGGGGACCCTCTTGGGACACAGCCAGCCAGAAAGGTGCTGCTACCTGCTATGGGCCAGCTATACCCAACTCAGGTAAAGGACCCGAAAAGAAGGTAGGGGTGGCAGATTTCTATCTACACAGCCCTCATGGTCCCTCTACAGTCTGCCTTTTTTTTTTAATAGCATGGGCCTCAGGGGGCTGAGACACTCACTCTGGACCCGACCCAGCCAGTTTAAGCATATTTAAACTTTTTGTTGTGGTGGTGTTGGGAGCTGTATCCAGGGCCTCATGCATATTAAGCAATTACTCCTAACACTGGGCTGACATCTCCAGTTCCCATATTTAAATGCATTTATAGTTTCCTAAAGAAATGGTCCCCGGGTTCCTGGATCTCTGGTATTTTGTGTACGTAAGTTAACACACACATGTCCACACTCATGCAGACTTAATGTACTTTTTGAAAAAAGGGGAAACAACTGAAATTTGCTTTCTCTGTCTTTTTACCCCAGATACAAAAGCACACATAGGCTCCAGGTCATTCCAAGTTGAAGGTGACACTCATCTTTGCTAGTCTGGATGGAACACCGCACCTACCAGGAGTTCCAACACCAGGAGTCACGCTGTGTGAAATGCAGTGGAACCCATTCTCCCTCCTTGGTATCAATGAAAGCTGTGTGACCAGCTGAGGCCTGGACCCCAGGGGGGACACCTGAGCTTCCTCCACCTGGTTACTTTGCAAAACTTGTCTCCCCTCCCCCCATCCACTCCACCCCAGCCTCCATCTTTCGGGTCTGTTGTACCTGCTTTCTCAGCCCCTCTGATTTTCTGCCAACCAGAGTCTTCCCCTGTCTCCTCCCTCCATGGAAGAACAGAGAAACCACTACCAAGGTAGGGTTTGGGTGGCAGAGAAAGCTACTTGGCATCTGACAAATGTTTTAGCACTCAGCTGTGGTGTGGGGGCGTTATTACTGCCAGCTGTCCTGCTGCTAGGCAAGGATCTCAGTGCCAAGTCCTGAGCCACACAAGACAGGTCCTGTGACAGGATCACAGACAGATCACTGTTGTCACTGGCAGCCAGCATCACACCCAGAATCCTGATCCAAAAACCCTGTCTGATACAGTCACAGGGACTGCCATTAATCCCAACACCGAGATATATTCTTTAGATGCCACATGCAAGACAGGCCCCTACCAAGGCCACAGGCAGCCTCCCTGTAAGGCGGCCAGGCTGCCCTGCCCAAGGGCAGAGATCCCTTGCTTGAACTCCAGGGCAGCCTGGCTCCACCCTCTGCCTAGCAGCTTCCACTTAGCCATCAAGAGCAAAAGCACCTCATTGTTCCTAAATGTTCTTTCTCTCAACCCCACCCCACTAATGGTAGAAAACCTGTTGAGAATGCCTCATGTGATAGGAAATAAATTCTGCTGCAATTTCAATGTGCCTGTCAATCACTGGCTTTAAGAGAAGGCAGGAGGGTGGTAGTGGGCAAGCAGACCTGGGTCCAAAGCTAGATCTACCACCTGGGCAACATCATCATGTTTCAGAAGAGCATGCAGACCAGAGGGGCTGAGAAGACAAGTACAAAAGGACTCTAAAGGTGGGGTCTTGGGGGTTATAAAACTGACGGTCCCAAGGTTAAGTGCCATCATGGTAAACATCTAGCACCAGAAACCCTTGGGTTTCCTCATCAAGAATGACAAGGCCACAAGGTGAAGACAGGACCCCAAACAGAAGGGCCCCAGTAGGTGGGGGGATCTCCATATGAGAAGTCCAAAAATGCACATGCCCGTCAGACTGTTGTTCCCTGTGGCATCAGCAGAGACAGGAACCTAGGGTGGGACTGCACAGCTTTGCTAGCTTATGGCCGGGGGCCTCTGCTGTTTCCATGTGTCCCCTGAGTGATCTTGAGGCTGGTTTAGGAGACAAATGCCATACAAAGCTCTATTCTCCAGAGAACAGGTAGAGCTCATGGGTTCAAGACAAGTTCTAGGATTTATTATGTGAGCGAAGAAAGACCAGATGACAGCCCTGGGTCCTGATGGTGAGAACACAAGCGTGGTTCAGCAGGCAAAGGCACTAGCTGCTAAGTCTGGTAGCCTGTGTTTGCTGCCTGAGACAACCAACCAGCTGTCCTGACCTCACATACACACGGTGGAACACCCCTCCTGCACATGCACACACATAAATGGTTTTTAAATAAGATTTATGTATGTGGATGCTTTGTCTGCACAAAGATGGATCTGCACATCAGAAAACGCCATCTGATCCCATGAGCCACCATGTCCCAGATAATGACAGTAAGACTTTTTTTTTATTTTTATTTTTTAAAGATTTATTTATTATGTATACATTCTGCCTTCATGTGTGCCTGCATGCCAGAAGAGGGCGCCAGATCTCATTGCAGATGGTTGTGAGCTACCATGTGGTTGCTGGGAATTGAACTCAGGTCCTCTGGAAGAACAGTCAATGCTCTTAATCACCGAGCAATCTCTCCAACCCGAATACTTTTATTAATTACAAAATGCTCGGCCTATAGCTTAGACTTGTTTTTATAGCTTAGACTTATTCCTAACAAGCGCTTATAACTTCCTTAACCCATTTATTTTAATCTACATTCTGTGGTGTGGCTCATACGTCATCTCTCCTACTGCCAGTGTTGTTTCCTTTGCCTCTGGCTGGTGACCCTGCCTTTTTTTCCCCCAGAGTCCTCTCTGTCCCTAGAAGTCCTTCCTGACTTATTTTCCGCCTAGCTATGGGCCATTCAGATCTTTTTTTCTTTTAGTGTCTGGAACCCAGGTGTGAGGCCATTCAGATCTTTATTAAACCAAAGACACATCTTCACAGTGTAAACAAATATTCTGCAACAACCATATGGGTGCTGGGAATTGAACTCTGGACCTCTAAAAGAGCAGCAGTCAATGCTCTTAACCACTGAGCCATCTCTCCAGTTTCACTAAATGTGTTGTTTTAAAATTTTATGTCCATTGGTATTTTGCATATATGTATGTGTCTATGTGTCTGGAACTAGAGTTATACTTGCAAGCTGCCATGTGGGTGCTGGGAATGGAAGTCCCTTTGCAATGTTTTAAAAAATGTATTCAGCCATGAGGAATAGACATACCACCTGGATGGAACATCCCAGAATTCCACAGCTTCAAAAGTTGCCTCTTAACTTCAGTAACTACTACCACGTGTCTGTATCAGCTCTCAGTCACTCACCCAAGCATGGGTGTGGACTGATCACAGAAGTTCACCTTACAGGCCAATGAGGCTTAGAGAAGAGGATAATGAGGGTCAAGGCAACCCAGGCTCCCCACTCCAGGGACAGGTGCTCAATCCCCAGGCTTCCCAGGAGGTTGAGATCTTGGGAAAGTATTTCTACCCAGGCAACCCCTTTTACATAGCAGCTCCAAATCTGCAAAGGGGACCCCAAATTCACCTAATTCCTCACTGGCTCCTGAACAAGTCCCACGTTTTCTTTCTGTAATGTTGGGAAGGAGGGGATTCTGGCTAGAGAGTGCTGGTGGGCAGCAGTCATGGGCCAGCTACACAAACCCCATAGTATAAGCACCCACGTCTCTTACTGTGCGGTAGTGAGCAGCGCCAAGAATCCCCCCAAAATTCATGTCCCCTCGAACCTCAGAACACAACTTAAAAGCTGGGTGTGGTGGCGCACACATTTGATCCTAGCACTTGGGAGACAGATGGGTGGAGCCCGGAGTTCAAGGCCAGCCTGGTCTACAGAGCAAGTTCCAGAACAGAGAAACCCTGTCTCGAAAAACCAGAAGAAATAAAAAAGGGAGAGGGAGCAGGAAGGAGGGAAAGTGTCATGGGGCTCAATTAATGGGGCATTAGCAGCCACTTTAAGCTGGAAGTGTGAATGGATTCTCCACCAGGTCCTCCATCCCTCCCAACATCTTGACTCTATAGAGGTTTCTGTTACAGAAGCCACTAGGCTATGGGGTCTGCAACACAGGAGACACATGCATCCTCCTTCCTACTCTATACCCTGGGTACAGTGGAAGTACTTGTGCAATGTCCTCATGGTGGCCACAGGACACAGAGTCAGTCCAAAGATATTCTCAGGTCAGGTTTGCTGCACTGACTCTGGCAGCATCAGAAGTTTTGGCCTGGTGGCTTCTGGAGAAGTTCTAGCTGTGGAGTGCTTCATGTATTGTTCATCAGGCTCTCGCCTCAGGGCAGCCTGGCCCATACACTGGGGCTGTACTGCAGAATGAATGAGACACAGTGGCTGGCATGGGACCCATCATCCCTGCACAGCCATATCAGGTGAATCAAGAGTGGGAAAGATATCACCTTCAGCAGCTGACTCAGCCAACATGAGAACTACCTGCCCATAATGCCCGTCACAGACTGGCTCCAGAGGCCTCAGTTCTCGACCTCAGGCTGCGAGAAGAGGACTACATTGCCTGCAATACACCGAGTGGCTGTTAGGCTTCGTTTTACAGGCTAATCTGCAGTATGTACTGTGGGTAACATAGTTCAGTTGCTAAGTCACTCACTGAATCTCCAGTTCACCATTCCTGAGTGTAGGTAGGAAAATTTGTTATTTATTTGGAGACAGGGTCTTTCTGTTTAACTCTGGCTGTCCTGGAACTCATTATGTAGAACAAGCTGGTCTCTAACTCACAAAGATACTCCTGCCTCTGCTTCCTCAGTGCTGGGATTAAAGGCATGCGTGTAGATTTTTTTTTCTCCAAAGACAGTCTCGTAACCCAGGCAGGCCTCAAATTGGCTATGTTGTCAATAAAGCCTTGAATTTCTGATCCTCCAGCTTCGACCTCACAAGTGCCAATCTTACCTGCATTCTCTATCATACCTGGTCGGTAGGGTGCTGGGGATCTAACCCAGACCTTTGTGTATGCTAGGTAGGCACCCTACCTACTGAGTTACAGCTCTAATCCCATTTCAAATTTCTTTCGCGAGTCTCTGCTATTTTAGACATCCATTTTTTAAGTCTTATACACAGCGGTACACTTGAAACTTGTGTTTACATATACAAATGAGCATGTGCACATGCAACTCGTGTTTACATATACAAATGAGCATGTGCACATGCAACTCGTGTTTACATATACAAATGAGCATGTGCACATGCAACTCTGTTTGTTTACATATACAAATGAGCATGTGCACATGCAACTCTGTTTGTTTACATATACAAATGAGCATGTGCACATGCAACTCGTGTTTACATATACAAATGAGCATGTGCACATGCAACTCTGTTTGTTTACATATACAAATGAGCATGTGCACATGCAACTCTGTTTGTTTACATATACAAATGAGCATGTGCACATGCAACTCGTGTTTACATATACAAATGAGCATGTGCACATGCAACTCTGTTTGTTTACATATACAAATGAGCATGTGCACATGCAACTCGTGTTTACATATACAAATGAGCATGTGCACATGCAACTCGTGTTTACATATACAAATGAGCATGTGCACATGCAACTCGTGTTTACATATACAAATGAGCATGTGCACATGAGCATATGAAATGATGTTGACAGGGATGGCACTGGGAATAAAGGACAGCAGACTGAGAGAAGGAAAGGATGCTGTCAGGAGAGACAATACTAACAAAAAGGTGTTGTGGAATATTTGTTAAATTATGTAAAGATGTGTTGCATTTGTTTACTTTGTTTGCCTACGGTACCTGATTGGTCTAAATAAAGGCTAACATGCCAATAGCTAGGCAGGAGGTATAGGCGGGACTTCCGGGCAGAGAGAGTGAGTAGGGGGAAGATCTAGGCTTAACAGGGACCAGAAGAAGACAGAGGAAATATAAGAAAGAAAAGGAGACTCAGGGAGATGCCAGGAGCAGCCAGTCATTCATGGAGGAGGCAGGAAAGTAGGACATACAGAACGAAAGGTTGAAAGCCCTGAGGCAAAACAGATGAGTAGAAATAGGTTAAATTTAAGTTAAAAGAGCAGTGAGAGAAGCCTAAACTAAGGCTGAGGATTCATAATTAATAATAAATCTCCATGGCTTTATTTAGAAAGCTGGTTGGTGGCCTAAAGAAAAATCCAACTACAAAAAGGCCCCTAACTCACTTCAACTCTACTTCAAGGCTTCCTTAGAAAGGACGGATGTCGAGACTAAGAGAAAAACAACTCTGCAGAGCCTAGGAGGCTGTGTATACCCGAGGGAAGCATACCTAGGGCCAGTGAGTGTTTCCTTCTCCCAGCAGGCATGTAGACTGTTCTCAACAAGTAGGAAATGCCCCTTTGAGGGTTTCATTTCCAAAAAGTAAAACTTCAGAATAAACTGGGAGTGATGTTACACACCCGTGTTCCAGCTACTCCTGAGGATGAGGCAGGACGGTGGCTGAGCAGCCTGTTTAATGTGGAGAACCAGTTGGCAGCAAAGCAAAGGTGG